TTATAAAGTGATTTTTGGAGTATCCGGCGATAACGATAAACGCCCTTATCCGATTTTAAAAGCGCAAACAAAGGATTCGATACGGTATCGTTGGCACGGCGCTAGTATAATGCCGATAAACGGAAAAAAACGAAAGGAAGAAAGGTATTTTGCTGTAATGGATTGCGCCGTCGAATTTCTTTAACGCGCCCTTTGCGTAAAAACACCAGAGACGCCTGTAGGTTAGAAATATTTGGAAAATTATTTGTATCGCTTTCGTTTCCATTATCCAACGATGCGTCGTTCTTGACCTTTTCTATCGTAGTGTATCGGAATAATAATCGAATGTCGTCCGCATTCGAGAACGTTTACGCCCCCGTTATAAGTCCGGAAGTCTACCGGCCACCACGGTAAGCCGTGCCAGAGACGAGGAGGAAGCGGAAATTTAATTTTTATTAAAATACGGCGATAATGGTAAACATTCGTCTTTAAATTGTAGTTAATTAAAACAATACGCCGCGTGACGAGAAGAAAAGATCTCGATGTAGATAAGCGCCCGTAAAAGGGACAGATTATCGATTAAACGATTACAACGACAATTATAGTTCCGACGTCATCCCTCCTATCTTATCTCGACGATACTTTTTCGTATTAATATCTTGTTTATAAATTTTCCGGCAAATTCGTCAGGAATCGATTCCTTGGCCTTTACGAAAAACACGCCGACTCTATATGACGCGCGGTGGGTAAACGGTCCCGGTGAAAACTGGCCTATTTTCGGTGAAATACTCGTGGCCGAGATTCGATTATCGCGCTCGACGTTGCCAAAGCGTTTAAGGTCGGCCGACAGTTATTCTACGTAAACGGGCGAGTGCCGATAACCGGCGATTCGTTATCGAACGACGGAAAGTACGATACCCGTTAATTCGGTGGGCTTACAGATTTTACGCGGTTAACCGGACGGCGCTAATACCGTAACCGAACGTCTATTAATTATAATTAACGAGGTAGATGGCGGTTTCGCGTAATTTTCTAAAACTTTTCGAAATAACCAACACTAGCGGCGTTGCTCGGGCAAAAAACAACGGCACCGAATATCGAACGGTAATCCGCTAATCCCTCAAATATTTAAACTCGGCACCCTGGAAAACCGCTTAAAACATATTTTGTGCCGGCCGGTAACCTCGTATTACGTACAGTACTTTTCCTATTCGAATACCACCGTAATGCCGGTCCGTTGCGGAAAGGGGTGGAAGTAATTCGAGCGAAAGTAGTCGTCGATCTCCCGAAAAAACAAGACGGTCGACCGCTACTAATTAATACCGGTCTACTATTAATATTCGAAAAGTGATCCGCGTTAGACGGGCCGCGTAATCCGAGTCGCCCGAAAGACTCGATATAAAACTTGTTTAAATAAAAACATCTTGTAAAAATGCGAGATTAATTGCTTTTACGCCATCCCGTGAAAAACTGGTGAAATCGGGTGGAAAAAGTAAAGGAAACTTTTGAAAGTTGTGGCGTAAGAATACCGGAAACAGATTTGGCAGTAAGACTCGACGCCCGAATAAAGTGTACTGTACTTTGGTCAATTAGTCTGGCTCATTCAAAAAGATAGAGTACTTATTTAGAGCGGGGATAATAAAGGAATGATTGAAAAATATTCAAATTCAATCGGGTCAAAATAATTTAACTACTAAACACGAATACTACATATTTAATAAATTAAATCGATGCATTTTGTATTTAAAATAAATGAATTATAACAAAATACAAAAACATTTTTAAAAATTAATAGATATAAAATTAATTTTCTTTAATTTAAATAAAAAAAAGCTAAATTAAATTTAAAATACCAGAGTCGGAGTCGATACATTTTTTCCGATTCCGGCTCCACGGGCCCGGAAAGTCGAGACCGTAGGTGGAAACGTAGGAGAAAGAGGAGCGGTTACCTATATGTCAACTTCCGATTTGTACCGCCAGTCACGTTATTTCGATTCAAAAATATTTTCCCCGACGGAGTTAGATACTTAACCGGCGCCACTTTATGGCTAACGGAAAAAGCATTAGGTGCAAAACACTTTAGGTCCACGCTGGTAAGCGCTATCGGCTACCTGTGGCGGTAATGGCGCGTCTATTTCGCGCTATCTCGTTGCCGCAGTAATTTTTTAAAATTATATCCTTTTTTGTAAGAATTATATTTAGTTTATGATTTTGTTGAATTTTTGCCAATAGATGGCGCTACGCGTAAACCGGCCAATGGAATGTAGATAGAAATTAATCGATATATACGAATCCAATCGATCGTTTGGAGTGGGACGTACGAACGTAACTGCCGAGTTTCGTATCGATTGGTCGAACGGCCTAGACGCGTGCAGCGAACAAACAAAGAAACAAACATCCTCCTTTTTTAATTAAATAAAAACAACCAATCGCTAAATGTCCGAGACATTGGACGTGGTTTCGCGGGACCGATCGTCCGAACTAAAAATACGGAATTCGGTCTATCGGTTACACTCCTATAAATTCTTCTTTCTAAGTTTACTCGATTTAAAATTCTTAAATCGTTTATTATTAGGTTTTAAAATGGGGAAAAGAGGCGAGGGCGGGCTCTGACTATTTCCTCCCACGATAACCGGTCCAGATTCGATGGGTTTTTAGGGCGGGTGAAAAATCGGAGACGAAAGCGGAGGAGCCACTCACCTGTTGGTCGAACAGCGCCCAGAAGACCGGAAGAGGCAGGAAGAGGGGTAGCAGACGCAGGCAGATTTTGGCATCGGAGATGGTTTTGGCCTGAAAACCGAGAAGGAAACGTTGGAGTCGGAGGCGAAATACTTTCCAAAAGGCAAAATACCTACGTCGTAGCCGTCGTCGGCGTAATCCAACCAGTGGGCGCGTTTTTCCTCTTCCTTCGATTTCCACCTCCTTCTTACGGCGTACTGAAAAAGTCGGACCGTTAAAAATATCCAACCCACCATTATTTGCGGGAGAAAAGTTTCCACTTTGGCCGGTTTGGTCTGGCCATTCTCGTTTGGCAAAATTACGTAACGCCGGTGGCCTATATCCGAGCCACCCAAATAGTCCGGAACCTTTTTCCGCTCCTAAATTCGATAGGACTTTGCCCATCGCGCCGGGCTCCGTCCCGGTAGCGACTGGCCATTATTGTTATAACGTAAATGAAATGTCGCTTCGTATATAAAATTTCTTGTTTAAAAATTTATAAAAAGGAACGGGGAGAAACCTGAAACCGAAGCCTGTTACATCCGTCCTGGATTTTCTTAAGATTTTAAACTTATTATATAAATCGAAGGTTCGGTAACAAATACCACGGTATAAACGTTCGGCATTAGAGCTATACTGTTAGCCGGACGGGTTTGTGCGAGAACGTACTGTACCCGATCCCGGCTTCTGTATTGGCAAGAAAATGGCACGGTCCGGCGCAGATAACGGACGATTCAAACATTGGATGTATTATTTATTATTTTAAACCTAATTTGTATACACGGAAACAATAGAAAATGCTAGCGACGAGTTGCCTAACTTTCACGGCAAAAAATGTTTATATTAAAAAGAATTACGGCAAAACAAAATAGTTGATATCGCCAAGGGGATGAATTTCGTAACTCGAAAGCTTTTCGAGGGACGGGTCACAGGCTCCTTAATATTAATATTTCCCAAACCAACGGTCCGATTTTTCCAAAAATTTGTACAAACATTTTCCCGTAACACGCAAACATCCCTGCAACGTTCTAGGATTTTCCGACCAAACACACGGGAGTTATTAAGCGGGTAAACAAATTCCCATCCGACAAACACACGGCCTTAAATACAGAAAAATCAGCCAACTACTTTGCGCTTCTAGACGTTTGGAGAAATGCCGTTATATAACCGGTCGGTCTAGTAAACGTGGTCGGATTCCGGAAGTGGTACTTACCGCCACGCACCGGAACACTCGAGCGGCTCCATTGCCGGAGGGAGCCGCCGCCCGATAGAAGGGTCTTCCGGCCACGAAAACGACTGCAAAAAGAAATTGGAATTTTAAGACGAAAGAACTTGCCACGCTCCAGTTTCCCACGGCGATGTCCGAGGACCCGAAAGAACTCGGGGTAATTGGGAGGCCTCTCGGTTCTCTGGCGTTCCGGAAATTGGGGACCGGAAGCGGACTTACCCGTGGAGACGACCATCAAAACGGCGGGAAGACCGAAGGCCAAGGGGAAGCAGGTGGCCCGGCCGAAACAGTGGACGTCGGCTGGCGGAAGAAAGAGCCGAATTACGGAGGGAAAATAGGAAGGAGAGAAAGAAAGAATTACCTCTGAGGACGGGGGTGAGCAGCATGGACACCAAACTGCCGAAGTTGATGGCCAAGTAAAAGAGCGAAAAGAACTTCCGGCGCCGTTCTTCCTGTCGACCAAACGAAAGACGATGAGACCCGGGGCTCCGGGCGCCGACCCGGCCGTCAACTCACCTGGTGCGGCGGAAATTGGTCTCCTCCGAAAGAAGAAACGCAGGGTTTGATGCCCCCGGTGCCCGAGGCTACGGCCACCAGACCGCAGAGGGAAAAGGCCCTGCGCCCGAAAGACGATTTTATGGGTTAAAAGGCCGTCTCCGAAAGAAACGCGCGCGGAAGGAAGACTCACCTGGCGGGAAGAAGATGGGGAACGGAGGAAACCGACAGTAGAACGTCTCCCAGCGCGTAGACGCAGGACAGAACGACCACGGTGCTGAAAAGAAGGGCGGAAGCTGACAAAAGGGTTCTCCGGCCACGCCCTTCCTCGGGAGAATACTCACCGGAACTTGCCCCAAAGGAAGTCGGCCAGGGAGGCTCCGAAGAGGGGGGTGAAGTAACACAGCATGGTGAAGGCGTGGAAGACGGCGGTGGCGGTCTTATCCTCGTACCCCAGTTCGGCGGTCAGATATAGCGTCAGCACCGCTGCGAATACCCAAAGTCGTGCGACTCTTTCCGGTTAGGGCCCCGTCCGCCGGCGGGATCAAGAGGCCCGGCGGAAGCGAAAGGGCCAAACGAATTTCGTCGGTCGTATTTGGCTTTCGGCACCTAAGGAAAGTTACCGCTTTTCCGGTAGGCGAAAGCGAAGGAAGAAAGACGGACGAATTTCGTAAGTAGTAACCTTAGGAGAAGGACTTACCTCTGAGTCCGTAGTAGGAGAAGCGTTCGCAAAACTCGTTTCCCACCAAGAAGAAAACGGCCTTGGGATAGGGTTCCTGAAACGGGAGAAAAACCAAATTGGAGGGCGACCCCGGGGGTTTCGGCACCCGTCCGTCGCCTTTTACGGATACTCACCCGGGAGGCGGAGGCTAACAGAGGCGTGGCTGCCGAGAGAAGGGCGATTAGACCCGGAAGACCAGCGCAAAGGGAATAAAAAATGAACCCTTACCCGCGTCGGGTTCCTCTTTCTTCCCGTTCATGTCGCGAGAAAGTCGAAGAATCTGACCCGGCGCCCGCCGTCCCACCGAGATTACTTCGTCGGCGCGCGCGGAGTGTCGGGAAGAGGGTCGGAGTCACTAATCTCCCGGGAAGATAAGGCCTGGGTGTCTTTCCACTACGGCCGAACCGGAACGCTATCTCCCGTATCTTTAAAAATTGCCCGTTTATCGTTTACGTCGGCAAAACGTCGGCCGATTAATTAATTGTCGTTCCGTAACTCGCCCGTTCGGAAAGCGCCGCGGCGGCTGTTTTCGGTACCAATCTTTTCCTTTCCCTTGGGCAAAACGTTAATTGGCGCCCCCTTCCCGGAGCAAGGAAAACAAATTTTACGTCATTTAAATTAATGTACCGGTACATTTTAATGTTTTATTAAAGACGACGGCGAAAAATTAGCGTGACGTAATTATAAATTTACTTTCGGAATTTTTACACCGGCGAACTTATACGCGATACGGTCGACGTTTAGATTATTGACGTAGTTCTCTGATACATTTACCGGTCAATCTCGCCACGTGGTCGAACGTGACATTTTATAATTTTCGACTGGGAAAACCATCTTTCCCCGCAGCTACGCCCGCGAGAAGAGTTAAGAACACGGTGGGCGATCGGTTAACGCGAGATTATCGATTTTGTGGGAATTTGATTAATTCGTTCCGGAGACTCCAAAAATAAAAAGAATATACGCTTTCTTACTACGTTTATTTATACGTAATAATAAAAATACATATAAACGCGGTCTTGCTTTTCGCCAGTCGTGTTTTTTCGTTTGTGGGATTAAGGAATCCGTCTAACGCCCATGGCTTTTCTCTCTTCGAGATTTTTCCGAAGTAATTAATAGCGTTGTCGTTGTAGAGATCCCCCAGCCTATTAACCTCGACCCGGTTTGGATGCCATTCTAAGACCAATCGATTCGACCAATCATTTATTTAGAGGTACAAAAGTACGTACAGTACATAACCCGATCCCGCTTGATGCATTATCAGGTATAATCGTACAAGAACAAACTATAGACATAAGATGGGGAGACTATCCACATTTTGGATAAGATAAGATAATTAAATCCTTTTTCTTTTATACGTGGGTATAATTAATGTTTTTTTCTTTTTTATAATGATGATTTTGGTTCTCCCCATGATTTTTCTTATTTTGTTATATGTTTATATTTGGATATTTGGTTTTCAGATATTTATTTTTGATGTTTATAATAATACTTGTATAATTTGTTTTGTTTTATTTATGTATATGTTAATTTTTTGTAATAATGGACGGATTATGATATTTTCTTTTGGTGTGTAATGTACATGTAACGATTTATTGTATACCCCGCATCATGGGCTCTGCCTAGTATGTCTAATTAAATAAATAAATAAACATAAGATAATAAACAGTATGAAAAACAATTAAAAATAAAGTAGTATTGTTAACGTATGATATCAAATATATAGGTTAAAGTAGATTAAATAGCATGGATACGTTGTAAGAATTAACAAATGTTATTTATACAGACGAAGTATAAAAATATATTAAACAGTTAAAATAGTTATGATCAAATTGAACTTAACAACTAAGCTCGAGCGGATGTCTGCTGTACAATTGGGCACTTGTATTACAATAGAGTTTATTAAATCCTTAACGAGAAGTTCGTGTAAATGCAATGACAATGCCCGAGTAAACAATTAAGTGGCTGCCAGCAGTCTAAAGTTAATTATTGCAGCAAAATGAAGCAAACTCTGTCGTAGTTCAAAATGTTGAACTGTAGTTTTAGCTGAATAGTAGAGTTGCTATATATTCTGTCGATATCTCTACATATTTCACGTGTTTTGGTTGAGGTACGCTTCTCTTCCCGAGACACCGTGTTTCTTGAAAATAGCGTATGAAAGCGGGACACGTATGGTTCAGCACACAACACAGACACATGGCATAGATTCTGTAGGACAACACTTTCTAAGCTCATTTTCATCGAAGCATATGCCTGGAACAGCGAAGCACCACCCACCGAAGAACAGCGCTTCGGTAAGCACTTCGCACAACACAAACACTTCACATAGACTGTGTAGGACAACACTTTGTAAGCTCATCTCCATCAAAGCGTATCCCTGGGACGGCGAAGCACCGCAAACTGAAGTACAACACTTCAGTAAGCGCTTCGCGACGAGGCGCATCGTTGTCGAAACACATCGGGAAGATCCAAATAAGCAATCTTACTGTAGGCACTGGCGAAGACATATTTGTTGTTGGAGCGCATCAATAAAAACTAGAAGTCATCACCGTAAAGACTTGGCACCAACTTTACATCCGATGGGTAAATCACTTGTCAAAGGATAACGAGGGGACGCCGAGTAACAGCCGCTGTAACATCTTCGTACCGAATGGGTATGGCAGTGAAAGTACAATTCTATCACATAAATGAGAAGAATGAGGTGGAAACACCACCTACGGAACATCACTCCACATCATTCGAGCACGACACTACACAAGCGATACATTATATGGGCGAATCCCTGTCGAAACGCGAGCCTATCAAAGCGCAGTATAGGTAGGACAACAATTTTAAAACAAAACACAACCGGCGTATACACACGAGATGCGAACAAAGCACCTTTGCGAGGATAATTCGAAATAATTGTGAGAATTTATCCTGGTAAACCTAAATTCCGAAGATACGCAATACGCGTAATGCAATTATTGAGAGGTAGACACCGAGTAACCATAATAAATATACGAGTAAAGACAATATACACAAGAGGTAATCGATATAAATTACGAGCAGCGTTGCAATATACTCGGAAGTGAGTGGAGCAGCGAGAGCAAGATACAATTAAACAAAAACAATAAAAATAAATAAATAAAGGCATTAACGTAAAGGAATGAACAAGCTATAATAAACCAATGGAATTGAAAATTAATTATGTACGAGTCGATGGTTAATTGTAATAATTTGTTTAGCAAGTTTAAGAAAAGCATTATAAATGTTTTTACTACTCCAAATATCCGAGAGTTTACGTGGCCGGCTAATTCCATTCTCTTCCATCAGTATTTTCAATTCTAACCTTTCTCTTTCAAACATAATACAGTGGTAAAAAAACGAAACACATTGACGGAGGATCGACCAGTCCGCATTTCTCGACAATCGGTTTTAAAAAATGGTTCGACCAAACGCTACGTACAGCCTTAGGATGGAGATTTAGCCCACGCCGGCTTACTCGAATGCCGTCTGCCTGGTCCGTCTTTAACCATCGGGACATTAATTAATTAAAAAAAAAAAGAATTGGCCGGTCGCCTGGGGTGAATGTTCGTCCTAAACGAATTCCAAACGTTATTAAATAGCGCATTAAATGTATAGTAAATAAACAATTATTAACAGTAAAAATTAATTGTAAAAATCGAAAACCGCATTTATTTTCTTCCGTCCGAATTTCCATTTAAATAGATTAATTCCGTTTCCCAACTGAGTATAGCTAATAAGGGGTTTGGCGCTTATCCGTTCGACGTAAGCTCTCTACCGTCGCCTACAGCGGTGTTTCTTAACGGGGGGGACCGCCAAATTATGCAAGATTTCCTTCGGAATATAAAAGAAAATTGACGCCTAACCGAATATCGTATCGAAAAGCGAAATAAGAAACATAAACTTATCGTATTTAGTTTTTTATTTATTTATTTTTTCCTACGTACGACTTTATTAGTACAGAAGAAATAAATGCAAATACGCTACTTACGCCGCGCCATTTACTTCTTTTATTTGAAAGAAATTTTAAGAAACTATTAAAACTATTAATGCTGGGATTTTTGCCAACAAATTCGCGCGGAAAATCCTCCCCCGTCTTCGGCAGCCACGCGACATTTCCCGCCTTTCGCCAGTACGTTTTTTTTCCAATATTTTTCGTTTTTTCTACGAATTTCTAAATGTTTCTTATTTTATTTTTTCTTAAAAATTAACGAGCTTTTACGTTTAATGGCGGAGTTTGAATGTTATTTAAATAACTTTATTATTTTATTATCTACGTTTTATATTTATTATATAAAAATATAAAGCGATAATATAAAAATCAATTTATTATAGATAATTTAACAAATATAAATTATTATTAAAAATGGGGGTGACAAAAAAAATTACGAAATATTTGGTGGGTGGCCAGTATAAAAACTTATTAAACGAACGATACATTTTTATTCGTAACGGTTGCGTATTTTATGACGTCGATAATCGAACCGGTGTGGGCCAATACGGCTAATTTTCTAGCTCACTGGCGGATTTGTTAAAGTTTTCGTTTTCCTTTCGCTTTGTATTTTTAACGGGAAAGATAAATCTTGTGGTAATTTTTCTTTTAATTTAATGAATTTATGACAATTTGGAATACGGTCATTTTTAATATTTCAACTAAATTTTCTTATATCGATGTTTCGCTTTTCCATGACGTTACAACATCGGCGGAAAATATTTTCCCCGTCTGAAAAACACGGAAAAACTGTCCGTCGACGTCGTGGCCATTTGACACACTTTTCAAATACCGAAATTAATTTGAAATTGTTCTTAAACCTCCGTAAATGTCGAAGACGTTTCGAAATTTGTCCACGGCGTAACATTAGACGAAAAGTAACTTCTGTAGCTTTTACTCGCTTTATTATAGCGGTCGAGGATCTTCTTTTCGGCGGTTTTCCGCCAATAATTTGTTTCGTAAATAAAAACCCAGTCGGAATGGCATTTACGCCTCTGGCTTTTCCCACGTTGGCGGTTGGAAACCAAGACTTTTTTGCGGGTTTCCGATTTTCTCGGCGCACTTTTTCGGCCCAAATTTTTCTCCCAACGGAAAACGTTGGGCCACGTATCCTTTTACGGAAGAATTACAACCACCGAAAGCCGCGCACTCGGCATTATTCCGGCGATATCCGCGTAATAACACGAAAGGTTATATTCTAAAACCATGGAAATAACGCCTTTAACGCGTTAGGCGGAATAACGATAGAAAAGTACGAGAAAGAATCGTTGGTATAACGAATTTTTATACGCCTGGTAAATCGTATTAGTTTTCCAAATATTTTAAATAATTACCGAATAAACGCCGCCCGTGCCGCCTTTCGACCGGGTCGAAAGTACTAGCGCGTTATCGTACGGGACGTATTAAAGACGTGTTACGAGTAATGCGATTAAATTTGTTTCCAGCCGGATAACAAACTAACTTTTTAGGTATTACGGTAGGCGTAAACGTTTAGTTTATTATAAATAATACTTTTCTATAGCAATATTTTTATAGGTTTAAGGTTGGCGACTATTTCTCTTTCGTCCTTATAATTATTACGTTAGAACGAAAGTACGGTGCGGCGCAATTATTACGGTACTCCGGTCGGAACACTAATTTTTAAATTATTCTAGCAAAATAGAACGATTTACGCTTAGCTAACCGCAGAAAGTTGTATAAACGCTTTTCTAAGGAGCGGAAAAATTAAACGTTGCTACCTTACACTAATTTCTGTACTTCTTTTGTACAATACAAACAATTTATATATATATTTTTTTGTTTAATAACGCGGCTTCAGCGAATATGGGATCTAACGTAAACTGTGGTTTTTTCGCTCGTCGCCTTATATTAAAGCGTGGTTAAAATAATAGCCAACCGTTTCCATCTCGGATAATTAAGAAAGAGGCGATAAACACCGGTAGTCTGGCTATTACAAGTTACCAGCGTTTTTAATTATTATCGAAGGGCAAAAAGCTTAATTTCCAGGGTAGCGACCAGTTAATTTACCGTCGCCCATGCGTTTCGGAACGATGGAAATTTTTATCCCCAAATGCCAGTTCAATTTTTTAAGATGGCGTTTCGCCCGATTACGGTAGGCCGGGACGACGGAATTTAAACGGAGAGAAATATACTTCGGTAAGCGGTGCCGAATGGCGGACGTTCTCCGATAAGGCCACGGACCAATGCCCTAGTAATTGGCGGGAACCACCGGGTTTATCCCGGTAAAAGCGTAAATAGACGATTTTACTTTAACGGCGCATTTAGGCGATAATAGGGAAAAGGGAGTCGACCGGGAGGAATGGCCGGCCCCGGCCGAGAACGGTAAATTTCGTTAAATACGGCGCCGATTATATAATCTTAACGGTACCGTACTTAACTAAAGTAACGATTAGAGGCGGCCGTTTCAAGAAATGGTTTAATTGGTAGACCGTTTTATACCATGGTACAAAGACGGACACTCGGCCGTCTCGTTTCTTAGCGCGTTAATACCACCCACCGCCTTCGTTTATCTTCTATAAACACCCGGATATTTAACCGCCGGTAAGCGGTCGACCGCCGCCCGGTTTACGCCGACTCTTAATCGTCGGGACGGTAAAAGTCTTCCGTCCCCGCTTACGCTAAGATTTAATCGGTTATTTCGTAAAGGAGGAATTCGCCCATTTAATTAATCATCTTTTCGGAGGTATTTCGACCGAAAGAACCGTCGGACCCGCGCCGTAACCGTCAGCGCGCGCCCTTCCCGTTTTCTTTCCCTACCTACTGTACCGTACAGTACGTTAGACGACGGCGTGGACGATAATTTTGCTAGGAATATACCTACTCCGGTATTTTATCCCGTCCCAATGTTCTTAAATGACTCAGACCTCGATCGTTCCGGCTAAATGGACGATAAAAAAGATCTCCTTTCTTCCGCGTTTAGCGCGGACATTTAGTTTTTATCGTCCGCGGAAAACCGTCGTTGGCGTTTTCGCGAAAATAATTGACGGAACCGTTACGTAAGCTTATTCCGTAATCGTTTACGTCGGTCTTTATATCGGAAAAATCTACCGAAACTAATTTATGGCCGCGGTCCAAAAATACCGAGTGAGTGCCTAACGGATTAAAAGTTTCTCTTCAAAAACAGTATTTTACCTCTTAAAACGGTATTGTTTTCGACTACGGCGATATCTGTTTATATTTACGGCCGGCAGATGGCGCGCGTTCGGAAGGTAAAGTAAATTCCGCCGACGAAACGGCAATTTTTGGCTTACCGTTTCCGCAAGGAGGAAAAAGAGGAGGTTTCTCCCCTTCGGAAGGAGGAAGACCGATGGTCGGCAATAAATTCCTCCGGAGTGGCCAACTTCTCAAAAGATAAAAATAAAAACAACCGCTGGACCGGGTATAGAAACTCGGGCGCTTCTGGGATGCGACGGCATCTTACGTCGGGGTAAATACGGTAATTGTAATCCAGCGTTATTAAATGTAAGCCCGGGAACCATCTTAACGGAGGATTTGGCCTTTTTCCCACCCCAGCCCACCGCACTGGTGGCCGGCGCTTACTTATTTACCACCGCCAATTCCCGTTGTCGCGCGTTCCGTTCTTAGACGTTCCCCGCCACGCCGAGAAGATTGCGAGATATTCCGGTGCCCGCCGTCCGCCGCTCCCAAAAATGTCCGCTTACCACGCAATTATTAAAGTAAAGACCTCCGCCGTCTCCGTACGACATAATACTCGGACCGGTGGTGACTTTCGTAAACGACGGCGGCGTCAACTCTTTCGAACCGGTCTCGATTTTCTCTCTTCTCCAAGCGGCGATTACTAAGTGGGTCGACGTCGTCGCCACCGCGCTCGNCGGCAGCGGCGTAAACTCTTTCGAACCTGTCTGGCGACCGTCCCGATTTTCTCTCTTCTCCTTTAAAGCGGCGATTACTAAGTGGGTCGACGTCGTCGCCACCGCGCTCGGCGTTTATTTTTATTTACTTTCCGATCCTTAAACTTGTTTACGTCGTAGAGATTCTTCGCTGCACCTTCCACTCTGGTCGCAAATTTTAAAAACTCGCCTTTTACCTCAATTAATTGTAATTCCTTTCCGTTGAATTTAATAGGAAAGAACAAAAGATTCGGCGTTTAACGGCCACCCCGGTCCACCGATTCCCGCCGATCCGGGGTAAAAACCGGCATTAATTAATTTAATAAATCTGCCACTCTCTACGGTTCGCCGTTTTGTTTTCTCGGACTAGAAAGAGACGAAAGTCCTACGGCCTTTAGTCTCTTTCGGCCCAGCGAAAACCGACGCTTTAATAGCTTGCCCCGAACCACCGGTTATCGTAATGTCGAAAGCCGACCGCGGCGCCCAACGTAGCTAGAAAGTCACCCGGCCGGTCTTCTGGATTATGGAAGCCCGCCAAGCGCCGGACGGATCCGACCAAACTTCGCACTCGCCGAGAAGGGAGAAGTGGGTCGCGGCGGGAGCGGAGTCCGCGCTCCGCCCACCCGCTCCGTATAAGGCCGGGAAGGCGGAAGAGAGGAGGCGAGAGCCGCGTGGGCGACCGGAGTTTCTGGTCGCGCCCGTCTCGGCCGCCATTCTAACGCGGCACGCGCCGAAGAAGTCATGAAGCTGGAAGAGGTGAGAGGCTCCGTCCGTCCCTCTCGGGACTCTTCTCGGAGGAAAGACCACTCCCCGCCCCCTCCGGGAGGCGGGTGGGCCCGGAAAGAGGCGAAAGAGGGTCTCCGGCCTCCGAAAGAAGTCGGTGGGAGAGTTGACGCTTTGGTCTTTTGCAGCAGAAGACTTGGGAGCATTATTTCCGACCCGCCGGATTCCGGCGACCCCGCTCGTGCGACTTCTGCAAGCGGATGCTGCGAGATAGAGGCCATCGATGCGCAGGTGAGTCCGGTGTGGGTCCGCCTCCCCGCCGTCGCCGCCGCCGGGGGTCGGCGCGTCGTCGGCGGGAACCGGTTTGAATCCCACCGGAAGACGGCCGCCCGCACCGTCGACGGCGACGACGGGTGCGCCCCCTCTAACGTTCGTCTTTTCTTCGCAGAGTGCCTGTACTGTTGCCATCCCGACTGCCGACCCAAGGTAAGCGCTTCCGGTCCGTCTCCACCCTCCCACCGCCGCCCGCTCCTCCCGACCTTATATAGCCGCGTCTATTTTCGTCCGGCCGGGTTACGGCCGCCGCCACCGGCGCCGGGGACCGCCACCCGGGACGGATCTCCCCCGGGGAGAGGGCGCTCCCGGGTTTCCGGCGGGCGAGGAGCCCGGAGGGAGGGAAAACCGCCCCTCCGGACGCGGGGCCGAAGCGCGGCGCGTCACTTCCGCCGAGAAGGTCGGGAGGCGCCGAGGTAGCGGTACGGCGCCTCTTATATTTAGATCGGCGCGGTTACGTAATGCCGAGAGACGAAGAGAAGCGTCGAATCTAACGGCAGTTTTCTCCGCAGGTAATCGCGCCCTGTTCGCCCTCCTCCGTTCGTAGTCAGGTGAGTGTCTTCTTTCTTCCTCCCTCCGCTCCGGACCGCCGGAGGCGGAAATTCCCTCTTTCCCCCTTCTCCCCGGAAGTTGGGACCCAGGCGGCCGGACGACTTCCTCCCTCTCGTTTCGGACGGAACTTTCCGCACCGGGGAAGGCGGCCGGAAAGTCCCGTCCGAGTTACTCGGGTCGTCCGGCGTTAGCCGCGGCCTCCGCTCCCTTACGAAACGGCGACGGCCGCACCCGCGCCCCGGGCTCCCTTCCTCGGCCGGGGACTCTTTCGGCCTTCCTCGCGCCCGTCCCGCGCCGCCGCCACAAACCGGTCGGACCGGAAGAGCGGACGACTCCGCGTTTCGGGCGTCGCTCCTTCCGAAAGTCTCCCGAGGGCGCGGCGCCGACGACGCGTACGTGGACGCGTCGGGAGGCGAGGAAAACGAAAGAAGAGTCCGGCCGAGTCCCGCCTTCCCGGGAAATAAGAGGACGTGTCCCCGGGGGCCGTTCGGCCATTCGGGCCCAAACAGGGCGGAACCCGAGACCGGAGGGAAACCGGTATTCGATGGTAAAGGCCGTGGAGGAGAAGACGATACTCTTCCTCCCGGTCCCTCCGCCCGTTTCTTTTTGCGTAAACAAAACGAAATCTATTTTTAAGATCGTCCTTGGAACGCCGGCCTTTGTTTCGGTCTCTCTTCGCCTCGGCACTTTTTGTTAAAGTGCGGGAAGAGAGGCGAATCCCACTCCGTGTTAAACGAAAGAGCGTCTAAATGTCGGCGGACTTTAAACTTAAATATTAACGAGGTTGTAGTTGGAGACTTTTTACTTTTTCGCCATTACTTAACGCGGATGTCGACTGTTACCATCGGTGGTCGGGAGGAACGACGGAGACGATTCCTCTTCGATAATCGGATCCTTCCCTCTTTTGCGGACAAGCGTGTTCTCCGCATCTTCCCTTCGACCGGAAATTCGCCGGTTCCTCTTTTTTTCTCTGAAGATCGACTCTTTTCTCCCGGCAGATCTCGAGCTCCTCCGACCAACTTTCGTCCTTCGGGTAAGTATCGGCCGTCGTTTTCCCGTTTTCTTTTCTCTTCCTCTTCATTTCCGGTCTTCTCGTGGCAGGGATTCGCCCGAAGCTCGACCCTGGGCCATGGAAGTGGCTTACCTGTCCGATAGGATCGTGCGTAAGTAGCAAAAAGAAGCCGCTTTTCCTTTCCTTCGCCCCGCTCAACTCTGTTCTTTCGGCAGTGCTGTGGTTTCCGGAGACGGGATCCAACGTCGTCCACGCCTCCGATCTGAGAGAGCTGGCCCGGTCTCTCGACGCCAAACACGGAAACAATTACATGGTGAGAAACGCGCCTCCTTTCCCTCCGCCTCCGTCCTCTCTTCTCATCCTCCTCTTCTTTCAGGTGTTCAATCTGTCGGAGAGAAAGAACGACCTGACTTTATTCGGAGCGCAGGTGAGTGGCCCTCCGTACTTTCGCCCCTTTCTCCGCCGCCCTCAACGTCTTCTCTTCTCAGGTTCTGGAGTTCGGTTGGCCTCCGGGTCTGGCCCCTCCCCTGCAGCGACTGTGCGGTATCTGCAAGGCCATCGACACCTGGCTGGTGTCCGATCCCAAGTCGGTGGTGGTTCTCCATTCCAAGGTGAGTCCGAGTCCGGGCGCTCCGCCGCCCGGGACGAAGAAAGCCCATAATTTTCTATTCTTTCAGGGAGACAAGGGAAGACTGGGAACCGTAGTTTCGGCTTACCTGCGCTACACCGACATTTGCTCGCCGTGAGTGACGTCTTCCTCTCTCAGCTCTTCCTCTTCCTTTTCTCACCCGCCTCTTTTTCAGGAGCGAGTGGCCGCCCGACGCCACCGTCCGCAAGAATTTCCATGGAGAGAAGTTGCTTCCCCACATGAGCTCCTCCCAGAAGAGGTGAGCGGCGGCCCCTCCCACCCGGAAGGGACGTGGCGGTTACTAACCGGAGTCTTCGTTTCAGATACGTCCATTACTTCTCGGGTCTGCTGTCGGGGTCCATCAAGATCAACAACGGCAGCGTCTTCCTGCGTCGAATCGCGGTGCACGGAGTCCCCAGCTTCGAAGCCGGAGGAGGTGGGTTTTTCGCGTCCGTGGGCGGAAACGAAACGGCCGTTCATCCGTGGTTTGTTCCGCAGGTTACAAGCCCTTCTTCAAGATATACCAGGGCATGCAGCACGTCTTCACCACCGCCACTTTGTAAGTTCCCTTCTTTTTTCCCATTGCCGGTTTCTTCCGCCACTAAACGCCGACGTCTCGCGGCAGCTACGTGTCTCCCTCGGCTCGTAGGATGACGGTGGACCTGGAGCCCAGTCTGCCTCTGTACGGGGACGTCCTGGTCAAGTGTTATCACAGCGCTTCTCCTCCCGCCGGAAGATCGCCCGTCTTCCGAGTCCAGTTCCACACCTGCACCCTGGATTCCGATCGACTGCTCTTCCGCAAGAACGAACTGGACGACGCCGACGGCGGTGGGTCTTCCTTTCCGCCTCACGCGCTGCTTCTAACCACCCCGCTTACTTATCGTCGTTTCCCGCAGATTTCAGGTTTCCCGCCGACGGAAGAGTGGAATTGCACTTCTCCCGACAACCCGACGCCGGTAAGTTCTGGGGATGGAGCGGCCTCTCCTCCGCCCGCTGACTCCCGTTTCGTTTCAGGGTCCAGGGACGCCTCGGGCCTTCAGGTGCCTCGGTCGGACGGCGGTCGCGACCCGCTGTCCTCTTGGGACTCCTACGAGAACTTCGACTCCTTTCCCGACAGTAAGAACCGCTCCTCCTTGGCTCCCGCCCTCCGCCCGCTCTCTCACCCCGCCGACTTTTCCGCAGATCCGCCCATCATCAAGAAGGAGACTCAACTGGACGAGCTGCTGGACGACATGATACGCGAAATCCACTCCATCTCGGACTTGGGTCGCGGCCGACCCTTCTCCGAACTGAGCAAGAACCTGGACTACGGACGACCGCGACCCGTTTCCGCCGGTTTCCTTCCCACGGCGGTGGTCAGCGTCAACGGAAACAGACAAGTCCTGTCTTCTCCCGGGCGTCGGGCGGACGACGAAGAAGACAAACCTTACCACGCTCGTAAAAACTGCGCCCCTTTCAGTTACGGGGTCACTCCCGGAAGTCCCGTCCTGCAGCGGAAGTTTCTTCGCCCCGCCTCCCCCCCGGCCGCCGACCGGCGCTGGGAAACCGAGGTTTCGCCTTCTCGTCCTTCGCGGGAGGACTCGTCCGAGGATCTCAGGTAAGAGAGGATCGGGATCTTCCGGAGACGAAATCCTCCCGCCTGACTCCGTCTGTCGACAGGTCGGAAGATCCCGACTCCAGAAACTGGTTGCAGAAGCAGCAGGAGAAATTGAAGGCCCGAAAAGAGGGAAAGAACTGGGAGGACAAACACCGACGGGAACGGAAGCTGATGGACGAATTCCGTTCCACCCGACACCGGAAATCTCCCGAACGCCAGGACGAGTTTCCGCCGCCGGACTCCGACCGGATCTTCAAGGACCTTCCCGTCAAGGTGAGCCCTTCCGGAAGGCGGGTCGGACCGGGAGGAAAAATCTAATAGTTTTTTCGTCCGCAGGACTACTCCACTCCGCTGCACGTCAACGTTTACGACGGACGGATGTCTTCGCCCCCGTCCCGCACGGCCAAGCCGCCCATCTGCAGGGGATCCAGCGCCCCCTCCTCCCCTCTTCTACCGTCCCGCAGCAGCAGTCGAGAGGCCACCCGCAACAGGTACCAGCAGTGGCAGAGCGGAGGAAGTCCCCCGGTCAGACAGAAGTCGGACACTTGGACCGATCGAGAACGACCCTTCGTCTCGGTCAAGAGAGCCCACCAGGCGGCCAAGGAAAGGGTGGCCGACGGCACCGCCTCTCCGCACCGCATCGTCGGCTCGTCCCTGGTCTACCCGGAAGCGGAAGGTCTTTGGACGGAAGAGCCCAAACCCGAAAGATCCTCCGTCAGCCCCAGTAAGTTTGGCTGGTTTTCCTCGCCCGAAATTTGGCACTTTCTTCCGTCTCCGGCGGATCGGATGCCGAATTCCGACTTTGTATTCGTATTTCAGCGGAGATTCCTCTTTTGCAGCGTCCTCTCAATTGGACGAGTTGGAGAGATCGCTTCAGGCTCTGGCCGCCGAGGGTCCGGTGGGCGGTCCCTCCTCCCCCGTTCCTCGCGCCCACTCCACTCCTCTCAAGGTAAGTTCGACTCCTTCGGCCGGTCTTTTCCCTTTGGGGAAGGGATCGAGTCGTACGGGAATCTCCCTCCGGAGGTGCACTTATCGCCCTTTCTCGTCCGCTTTTTTCCGTAGAACGTTCTGCTGGTGGAGGAAGTGTCCGGTCGGCCGCCGTCTTCCACCGGGGGAGGCACGCCCCCGGCCAGTCCTCCCGGAGGGGACCGTCCGGTCACGCCGTCCTTTCCCGTGCATCCGAGCACACCCTACTTCCATCAAGGTGAGTGGTGTCGGTTTTTTTTTTTCGCAGCGCCGTTTATTCTCGCTCCAACTATCCATACGTTCTTCCTCAGACAACGCCGCTTCCGGTTCCGGACGTCCTCCCAAGAGTCCTTCCCCCGTTAGGTAAGTAGGAAGGGTTCCGAGACGGAAGGTTCCTCCGTTCTCGCCGCTAAATTGTCTCTCGCCGCAGAAAGGAAGCCACTCCTCGCACCTTACATCGAAGTCTTCCGGACGTCACCGGGGGTCGTCTGTCTCCCGTCGGAGATTCGCCCCGCAACCTGCGTTCCAGCGTCTCTTCCCTGACGGGTAAGCTTCTTTTCCCTCCCGAATTTCCTCTTCCTCCGGGAAAATAACCACTTTTGTTGGGAACAGAGCCCACCGAAGTGCTGCATCACCATCCTCTGTTCGTCAAAGACACCTCCAAGTTCTGGTATAAACCCGACATCTCCCGAGAGGAAGGTAAGACCCGGCTTCCCGTTTGCCGGGAGACTTCCGGAACTGACCCTTCTCTTTCTCCGCAGCCATCGCCATTCTCAAGGACAAGCCTCCGGGCACCTTCGTGGTGCGCGACAGCAACTCTTTCCCGGGAGCCTTCGGACTGGCCCTGAAGGTGGCCACTCCGCCGCCCAACGTGCAGAACTCCGGAGGTGGGCGAAAGGCGGTTTCTCCCGGTGATCCGACCGACTGGATCTCATCCTCTTTCTCTTCCGCAGGCGACGTCTCCAGCGAGTTGGTTCGACACTTCCTGATAGAACCCACCTCCAAGGGCGTCAGGCTGAAAGGATGCGCTAACGAACCCGTCTTCGGTGAGCAAATGCACGCTGTTTATGACCATTATTGTTGCTTACAGAGGGAGTAAACAATCGTCTTTCGTTTCTGCAGGTAGTCTTTCGGCCCTGGTCTATCAGCACTCCATGACTCCCCTGGCGCTGCCCTGCAAGCTCATCCTTCCCGAATCCGGTAAGCTCTTTCTCCGTCGACTCCAGGAGGCCGCGAGTCCCGAAATTCCCGCCGTTCGACCGCCAAATCGGCGGAATTTCGGCAATCTCCGAGGGGGTGGGAGGAAACGGTCGAGCCACCGGCGAAGGTTACCGACCGAGACTAGACGCCAATTTCCAACTCTCGCAGACGCTAATTATCGGGTGTCGGCGCGCGTCCTACAGCGCGACTCGGGGAAACGTCCGGAAGTCGAGTTACGTCACGCGTGACACGGGGACGTTTCGACCGGCCGCCGCCCCGTACTGGTTTGGTGGCCAAATCGGTATAAATCCGTATTTTTCCCGACAGATCCGGCCGGAGACGTGGAAGAGTGGCAGCCCGGCGACGGGAGCGATTCCACTTTTTGGACCCAAGGAGCGGGTAAGTGGTCCCCTCTCCTCCCGCCCTCTTTCCTCTTCCTCGGCCCGCCCAATGCCTTTTTTCCTTTCAGCTTGCAACCTGCTGTACTTGGGATCGGTGGACGTGGAGTCGCTGACGGGGTCGACGGCGGTGGACCGAGCCCTGACTCGAATCCTCGACCGAAAGGAGCCGGCCAGAGCCGACGTCGTCCACTTCAAGGTGTCCGGAAAGGGAATCACTCTCACAGATAATACCCGAAAGTAAGTCGAACGTCCCCGTCCCTCCCTTTCCTCCGTCTGACGCCTCTCTTCCTTCCAGGACCTTCTTCCGGCGCCATTATCCCCTGGCGGCAGTCAGCCACTGCGGATTGGATCCCAGAAACCGAAAGTGGAGTCAGGTGGATCCGGAGAACGACGTCGACGTGGCTTCCGGGTGAGTGCGGGGTGGGAAGGGGAGAGCAGGCTTCTCTGGCTAACGCCGCTTCCGCTTTTCTCAGGGCTTGTTTCGGCTTCGTGGCCAAGAAGAAGGCGGGGCTGAACGACAACCAGTGCCACCTGCTGGCCGAGTTGGAGAAGGAGCAACCGGCCTCGGCCATCCTGGACTTCGTGCGCAAAGTGATGAGCGAAAGCCGATCGTCCAAGTCGGAGGCCATGTAGACGCGCCGGTCCGGCATCCGGGACGAACTAACCCCGTATTAACGTATTTAGTTTATACGCCGAAGAACGGACGGGAAACTAACCGTCGGCGCCCGGGTATTAACAGTTTGCGCGGAATCGGCGTCTCTCTCTCGGCTTCTAGTCACTTCCGGTAGCGCCGGCGCCCTTCTTGGTCCGAAACCGGCCACGTTTCTCTCTTTTTAAAAATAGTTTCCGTTTTACGGGGGCGGGAGAGGAGGTGGACGGGACCGGAATCCAGCCAGATGTATCTATCTTTTAGCAATAAACCGTTTAATACTGGTAGGTGTGGCGGTGGCATCTCGGATCCGCCCGCCCACGCGCTCCTTTCGGTCCTTCTTTGGTAGATTTTCCTCTGTTGGAAATCCAATCCGGCACACCTGGTTCTTCCCAGCTACGGAGGTAAAAGTTAAGGAGTTTTTCGGAAAAAGCCGAACGAAATTCGTCTTAAAAACGGGAAAGGCGGAAGGTAAAAAAGAAAAAAATCGCCGTTCGAACGTCCTTAAGGAGGCGGGGAAGTCGGTGCCGGTAAAAGCCGCCGCCCGGTGCCAGACGAAACCGAATTTCAAAGTGCCTGCTAAGAAGACTATATAAGACCTCGTTGGGCCTTACGTTACGTCGTCATTTCCGGTTTATATGGTTTTTCCAAGAGCGCTTTTGTTTACGGGTTAGCAAACGGCCCGTTAGTTTCTTCGGGCCAATGTATCAGTTGTTTGCGTTAAATTAACAAAGCCGGAAGCCGAGAAGATAACAGAAATGGTCGGGGTTAGAGGGAAAGGCCGCATCCTGCGTATTTAGTCCCGCGGCCATTATTTTCTAAGCCGGATACGAAATATTTGAAGGCGACGGATGGTAGAAGTTAGAAAAGAGTAAATAGGACGGCGCTACTTTTGTCTTAACGTTTATTTTAAAAATAAATATTTCGGAAACAAAGACCGACCGTTTGGTCTTTGTCTCCGGATTAAAGTTAAAGGTTTCATGTACAAATAATTCTTAAAAGATGGAAATTGTTTTCGTTGCCGGTTTGCCATTAATTCCTGTTATTTATTTTTCCATTAAAAATATTTAAAGAATAAAGAACGTATTTTATTTTTTACGGTAGAGTAATTAGGCGGCGCGGACGGAGTTAACGGGTTAATTAACCATTAAGCCGACGATTATAAGTAAGTAGACTACGGCCGAGACTATCCTTCACCCCCTCCCGGCCATTAAGTCAAGGCGCTTCTATCGGTGGGGAGGAAGCCTTATAACCGGGGTGATCCGCATTAACCACGCGTAGAAATAAGGTAATATAATTAGAGTTTACTTAAGTTACCAGCGGTGCGATTCGAAAGTTAACGGCCGCCACCTTTCTATTTAAATTACGTTTCCGTACCGTTTCCCTTCTTCGGTACGCCCCGCCATCGAATTTAAATTAAATTAATTAATAAAAACTCGAATAACTTTCCCCGCTTTTAGGAGATTTTATTTTAAAAGTAACGTTTGTATATTATTAATAATCGAAATAAATAAATAAAATTGTACAGTACGTGGCGCCATCCGTTGAAAGATTTTGTTACGAAAACTATATATTTTTAATTATTACAAAATAGCGAAAGACTTAATTTTGAGGGTAGAGACCAGGCTAAACGCTAACCGCCAGTAAAAACCTTGGTTTAGTCCGACGCCCGATATCACCGAAATTTAATAGCATCCGCGCCAAATTCGGTTTCTTTATCTCGGCCCCGCCCCGAGATATTAAGCGAAATACACGCGCCGTTACGTCATTACCGCCGCGGGTAGCGCGTAGCGTTTTGCCCCCGCCCGTGGCGCTTTTCCCGTTACCCATAGAGTGGCGCCGGTTACGTATATAGCTCGGTTGGGGAGGGAATACTCCTATCGAAACAACGCGAGTTCGTCCGGTCGTTTTATCTTACGATCTCCACTTCCGGTCTGGACTTTCGTCCGTCGAATTCGTTTCTCGAGATTAAGGACAGACGGACAGATGGGTGGACATTTATAGGTCCGCGGCAATTTTTTTCAAATTTTTCTATAAACGCAATATTTACCGGAACGCGCTTTAATTCTGGTATTTATCGTATTATAATATCATACTCGACTTCCGCCCGCCTTATAATATGTAAAGGGCGCGCGGCGCGGCTAATATAATCCGTATTAAATTCCCGTTACGTTTCCGGCCGGATGGAATTTGTTTTCGTTACGGTTAAACAGTTACCGGGATCTTTAGGAACCGTCGGTAAATTACCTAGCGCTATTTTTGTACTTTCCCGCCCCTCCGTCCACTCCCTTTAACCCTACAAAGGTGGCGGCCCGCTAATTTAAAATTAATGGCCCGCGCCGGACGAATACTCGGGATAAAAAGTTGTATAGCGTAAAAATGCCGATTTAAAAATTATTTGGAATTCGGGAATTAAATTTTAAAAGGCAACGCCGTTATTATCGTACGGAATACGAAAGGCTTTCGTCCGGGACGACTGTAAGGGCAAAAGTAGAAAAGTATTTAAAATACAGTATATAACTACTAAAATATACGCCGATTACGGCCGACTTTTACGTAAAAATAATTATCCGTATTTCGTTTTCTCGGCGAGAATCTATTTTTAAATTCTCGTTCTAGTTCTTCGACTTTCTCCACTCCGTAATTTCGGCTGGGATATAAACGCTTTTATAAATTCTGACCGGGCGCCGTCGGTCGTAATTCCACCCGGTTTTAATAGCCAGAGTTGGTTTTTTATAAGGTTTCTTCGAAATTTCTCCCGTACTATTTCCTTTTAGCCCGACTAATTTGTAAATCTAAAAATTCTTCGGTAACGTTTAATGGCCAATCGACGCCTGGAATGAAAATTGCCGGTCGAACCCTACCCGTTACGTCGGTGGATTGGTCCCAACCCATGGAAATTCCAAAGTTCTTACTCGTTTCTTTAACGATTCGTCCATTCTTCCGGCTACCGTTGGCGAGGTTAAACTATTAGCGAAAAGCTTCTTCCCATCAGGACGTATAATTTCCACCGCTTTTTCCATACATTTCTTTATAAACGTTCCGTCGGAATAACGACCAAGATTTTTTGCTAATAGATTACAAATTTCGTAATTGGCTATTTGTTTTCGTTAAGGTTACGGCTTTTATCGCTTGTTCCCCTTTCTGTTTTCTTGTCTACGGTAAAGTCTCCCGTATTATTATACGGTAGAATGGCGTTAGAACTAGATGTTCGACTTTAGACTAAGTACCGCTCGTATCGAAATTGTCTACGCGGAAAGAAACAAATTATTGTTAGATTAAAGTGAAAAACGACCGCTACCGCTGTACTTTTCTTAATTTAAAATTTTACCCTATTACGCGGCCTAAATTATACGAGACTAACTAAAAGACTACGTCGTATTTAAGAAAAGCCTGTTGTTTTCCTGTCGCCATCGAAATGTCCCAAGCCGCCCGTTTACTCGGAGACGTTTCTCTCAACTTCGGCTCGATATTTTCCGTCTTCGACTAACGAAATATGTCTATTTTTGTATTAAATCTAAAGCTTATCGTCTTCTTTTATCATCCGCATCTTGTCTTTACCAACGAATCCGCGACGGCCAAACCAAACCAAAACCCAACGATGCTGGGCCGAAATTTTTAATTATGTAATGTAATTTTAATTTAAGATATACGCTCTCCGCCTCCAATTAATAGGGACTTTTCCCCGTAAAGCATACTTTTCCTATTAGCGATAGAGTCGTGCCGGTCGTCTACCTAATTCCTTTCGGGGGAAAATTTTTGAATCGAATTAACGCCACTTCGTAAATAGTTAATCGGGGCCTCCCGCCTCTAGTTTAATTAAGGAAGGACGGACGACGGTGGGAATTTACGGATCCGCAAATTTTTCAATATTGCATCCCGAAAAAACGAGTCGATCGGGAAACGAAACCGAAACTGAATGTAAAGTGAAAATCTACACAAAAAAGAAAAAGATTAAAATGAACTGTATCTTATTTTTGTACTTACTTTTGTCAAATAAAGTGAATAAAACTACGACTACGGCGAAATAAATAAAACAAAAAGTTGCGGCCGAAGTTTTCGTCTCTAAAACGTCAACGTCGGACGTCGAGCGCCGGCGTAGAAGGTTGACGATGGCGTTCGCTACGTCTAGCGTAGCGGGTACAAGTTCGGCTTAAACGTCTTCATTTTTCTGTGTTTGGGGTTAAAATCATGACGTATTTTATTAAAATAATGATTATTTAAGCATTTATGGATAATACTGTAAAGAAACAGACGATTTTAATCCAGAAATTATTTAATTATTCAATTTTTTTTGCGACTGATGTCGAGTGCCTATAGAATTTACATATACAGTATTTCTGTTCACAATAGCTTATCGTAATTCTCTAGGAGTAGGTGGGTTCTTTCGCATTATCTTCTACCATCGACAGCGTAATACGTTCGTAAATTTTCTAAAAATAATTTCCCCAGCAGCTTTCAGCTTTACATAAGCCACTACTTCCCCGGACGAAAGTATGCCGTGAAAAATATCGTACGAGAGGACAGACGACGCTAACTAAAGTCAAAAGTAATTATTTAGTGTTATTAAACATCCTATAAATACTTTAAAATAGTTTAATTTGCTTATTTACCTTCGCTGGTAACATTCGTCGTTGTTAAACGCTTCCGCATTTTTCAGAAATATCCCACGAGTCAGTGCGCGACGCCAACGTGCGGCGCAACGTGTTTGTACTTGGAGTTCGAACGTCAAACGTGTACTTCCGCTTGCCGTACAAGTTTAACGTTTGAACTTCGGCCGCAACCTCTCTATTATATATACGGTGGTGCCTCGTATAACGTACGCTGCGAACAACGGACTTTCTGTTTGGCCGTCACGTGACTCGAGCAACGGACTGGCTGCGAAAAACAGACTTTCCGTTTGGCAGTTACGTGAGGCAAACAACGGTCTTTCTGCGAATAAGTGCTAACGATGTTTCCACTCTTTTGCCGTTGCCAATGACAATCTGCTGTTTTTATAATATACTAGCTGCAAGGACCCGCTTCGCTGGGCAAAAAGTAACGATAGTGAAGATTAAGATTACATTATAGCCAATCTTACCCGTTTTCACAAAATGCAAGAATTAGGTCCCCCGTTTCCAGACTAATTAGAGAATTTTTACGTTTAGTCAAACGAACTATTTTCAACGTTTCTGGAACGTTTACAATCGTTCTATAATCGAACCAATATTCGAATTTTATGTTCGAATTTAATTCGAACAAATTCGAACAAAACATTCGAAATAGAAAGCCACTTTCAACCACTTTCAACCCCATATCTCCCGCACCCTTATAGCTATCGAGATGCAACCACCCCTATGCACGAATGGAGACTTGGGGCTACTACCACATGCAAACACCATTCACGTGCGATGTGTAGTTTTGGCGGAAAAGTGAAATATACGGACACACACGTCCATTTTTATATATAGATATATATTAGTAGTCTATTATTAGAATATATTATTAATATATCTCTAGTAAAGATCGCCCGTTGGAATTCGGCTCGCTCCCTTGTTTATTTCGTACATCGCCTCTGTGCAGGGTATTTACATTTATTCGAGTGTTGCGCAAATCGTGGCTGCTAAAAAACAGAAAGATGATTTCAATCGAAACAAAGCGAGACATCATCAGAAAAAGTGAAAGTTGACAAAAAGTTCATTGTCAAATGGGGAGAGGTTCGGGAGTTTACCAACACTCATTATCCAAACAGAGCCGAGGCCAACAGGATCAATGACCTCTACAATGACACCCTTGCCCGTCATTTCCGACAGGTATTGAAGAAGAGAGAGAAACAGACCACCTTGGACGTGTTTTTCAAGAAGCCAGCTGCCAAAAAACAAAGAATGGAACAACAGGAGATGATCCCGCAAGCTCCGGTAACCTCTCCTGAATCTGACTCCGATTAAAAAACGATAAAAAGAGACCCGCTGCGATGTGTAAAAAGTCTGTATCTGTATGAATGTGTAAAGAAAGTGTTCCTCCACTTCATCCTCGCAACATCTGACCACCCGGCATAATTGGTGACTGCTCCATTTTAATTTTTTTTATGGTACGGTTATTTTATGTCGCGAAACGAATTACATGTTTTAACACGTATTTCTATGGGAAAATGCGTTTCGTATAACGGACTTTTCACTTAACGGACGTACACCCGGAACGGATTAAGTACGTTATACGAGGCACCACTGTACTGTACGGTACATTATTTTCTTTATAACTCGCAATAAACTTCGATAATAATTGGTTTGTACTTATTTATTGCGAAAAAAATATTATTTTTATTTTAATAACTTAATGAGTCGACGAAACTTTCGGTTACGAATTCTTCTTTTCGCGTCGATTCCGGCCATCTTTGGACCACGTACAAACAACTAATTACGACTCGCTCTTCCCTCTTCCCTTCCCTTTGTTCTTCTTCCTTTCTTTCCAATACCTCTTCATTCTCTCGCTCCGCCGTTGTCTTTGCTCCCGAGTGAAGATTTTTCCACGTCTGTTAGTTTCCTTTTTCTGAAAACCCTCGAAGTTCTTTATTTCTAAACCTTTCCCTGTTCTGGATATCTTCAGATATGCCCATTTCTGCCGCGTCTTTTTGAGTGTCATTAGTCCATTGATTCTTATTCTTTTGGTTGTCGAAATACGTAAAAATTAGCTTTGTTAGCCTATTTTCCCCCATTTTCTTTATATGTCCAAAGAAGCTTACTCGCCTTCTCCGAATTGTATCCGAGAGTCTCGGGATTTTTTTGACAGAGCTCTTTATTGCTCCTTAGCCCGTAGTTACCACGTTCATCTGTTTTCGGCTCCAGAAGTTTTCGAAGGATTTTCCTCTCTTTTTTCTCCGTATTTTCTATTTTCCCCATTTTAAGAGTAGCAATACCTTCCGCTGCATAAAGTGCTCGAGGTTTTATCACCGCGTTATAATGTCTAATTTTTGTGTTGGTGGAGATGGGTTACAAATTATTTAAGTAAAAAATATATTTTTTAAAATTAAATTACACTATAAAATTGCTTACCTTTATTTACGCGCGACGACGAAAAACGAAATTTCAGGGGGCCTGGCCAAAAGATTTTTGATCTCCGTATTTGCCAAAAACTTGGGAGCCTTCGACTCCTATACGCATATTTTTACCTTTACCTTTAATATATAATCTTCCCGCGTCAAACCCGGGCTTGGGCTAGCATTTTGTAACGTATACCGTTTTAAGATCCGTCTTCCACACCAATTTACGTAGCGGTTAGAATTTTGTTTCGCTAACGATTGAAGGCGAAATCTTTCTTTCCGACAAAAATGCAATTTATTTAAATTTCCAACTTGTAAAAGCAAAATTTATTTCAAACCTTCTCCCATGTCGAACTAATTCCATTTTTAAATTCGATTTTCCGGTGGAGAATTCGCGTCGAGCCTTCAAAAGACTAATCCGACGGTATAATTATTACGAATTTAAAACAAATTTAGCATATTATTTTTAGTAAGAAATAAAATGAAATGTCCTTTGGTATTCGTATTATAAAAGTACGACCGCTCGGCCTTACCGTTCCGACAAACAATCGATAATTTAATTGGAATGTCTAGTAACTGCTCGTACGATTTTTTTCCCACGAACTTTGAATTCTTCCTTTACGTCGACTCTGCCGTATTTACGTTCCGGCCAATCCGGTCTTAATTAATAAGCACTCGGCCGGGGAGGGGTCCGAAACCTCCTTAGTGTCCACGAAATGCAAATAATTTTAAAAACTTTTTAGTATTCCGCAGTGGCGTGGCCTGGGCGTCGGCCGCCCGGGGCGGAGGAAAATTTCGCCCCCTTATTTAGGTATCTCGATTTAAAAGACTAAAATTCAGTTTGGTCGCAGAATAAGTAACGAAAAATTCCGCGCTAGTGTCGCCACCTTTTTAAAATCGTTGACCCGGACGGCGGGTGAGGTTCGAGTAGAAGTTCTCGACGCGTGCGTATGTCATTTTGCAATGCGAAGAATAATGTGCAGCGCGTGCCGGTTCTAAATCAGTTACAGTTAGCGACTAGGGAGACTCGGATGGGAGTAACGCCAGTGACCTAGCTCTATTGGATATTGAAGGTGTATATATAAAAAAAAGGTCAACAGGTTGCGCACGATATCCCCGGACGGCGAGTCCATTCCCGGACTATCCGGACGGATGGTAACACTATTCCGTGCCCATTTCAATCGATCCGAGTCGTAGGTGGACGAAAATATGAAATAAAATGGTTCAAATTCTTACAACGTATTATTATTTATTGTGAAATTTTGCCGCCCTCACTACGCTACGCTACTGGTGTTCCGCAAAGAAAGACGTCGAAGAAGAACGTCCGAAGTAAATTGACCGGATAAACCGCTTCGCGCCGGCGTAGAAACGAGATAATTTTTTACACCGCCACCGGAAGATACCGGTACTAGCGCATCGTCTGAAAAAGTAATATTATCTAAGAGCTTTCCCGTCGAGCGGGCGAGGTAGTAGCCTACGATTGTGGGAATCCGGGATCGCAATTCGGCCGAACTCGTAATGGGCTGGCTAAAACACCCTTTTAGTGTCCGGAGTCCGAAAAAAGTTAAGAAAAAACAGTCTTCCCGTACAACAACGAACCGATGGATAAAAAGTTTCTTCATAAAATCGTGGCCGACGAAACTTCCGACCAAGAAATTCTTACGGTTATTTATTTATCATTTATAAAACTTATATTTTCTGGCATAGAGTTCCGATGTAAAATGAGGAATAAATTACCGACGTTTATTTCAATTTACTAACACAATATTCGCCTTTGAAAAAATTTACAAACGAAATTTTCATCGGGGAACCATAAAAGTGCCCTCTAACGTCGTTCCTTCCAACACCGTCGGGGGACGATCTTTATTTGGACGTCATCTTTAGCAGTATTGGTTTGTAAATTTTCCAAAATTTATAGTTATACTTATTACTAATAATCCGTTTTTTATTAAAAATAATATTCTCCTTCTCTACAGTTCTGGGTTCCGAATTTGTTTGAAATAGTTTTTGAATTTTCCTGGTGGCCGAAGGAGCGACGAGCCAGGGGGCGTTGTAGCCGGAAGGAGGAGAGCCGCCACGGACGAAATGGAGGAGGACGCGGAAACGGCCTCCGTCTACTCTTTCTCTAGTAGACAGTTCGATCTCAACTTCGAAATCGAAGAAGTAAGCGCTACGAACCAGGGTTTACTTCCGAAGAAATTATTAATTACGTTAATCGCGCCAATGTTTAATAAATCCGCGACTCGGTGCGGAGCATTAAAATATGCTTTGGATGGTGGCATTTAAATTGTCTTTCCTCTTATTCGTTAATAAGAGTAGACGACGTCCCCTTAAAAAGTAGTAGTAAAACTTTATGGGCTGGGAGAATGGGAGACCGACGGCCGAGGCCAGTGGACGGTCTCCCTTTCTTAAATCGTAGCTTTAAGTTTTGTTTGTATTGTATATAAAAATGTCCTGACCGAATCTTGCCCTACTGACGTTTCCTTCCTTTTTCAGTTGGACGACAAAGAATATAACATTCCCCCGGTGGAGATGCCTCCCTCTTTGGAGAGTATTTTGAACGAGGTGAGTGTCGGACGTCGGTGCCCGAGAAACCGTCGCCCTTTTAAGTTTTCGGGTTTCGTACGCCAGTGCCGGTTATTATATTTGGCCGTTCCGTCGTTAACTTCCCGCAAAGTGACGTCGACGACGTAGAGTACTTTTTACGGTGCCAATAAAAATAATTACCGTTTTCCAGCCGGACGTGGATTCGCTCGGCGACGACGAGTTTCCTTCCAAGGAAGATTACTTCGAAGACGAAGATGCGATATCCGTGAGTTCGGAATCCAGACAGAGGAGACCGGAGAGGTGGGTGACCCGTCCGTGCCCGTTCGAAAATTAATGTGAAAAAGATGCAATTTAGTGTAAAGTTTGTCGGATTTTGCTCGGCTAGATTTCCGGCGTTCGAAAACTGTCGAGCCGAGCTCGAAATGCGAGCGTACGTTGTGCTTTTTTTTTGGTCACGGAATATATTTTGTTTGTTCTTGATATTCTTGATTTATCTTAAGATTCGTTTTGCTAGCGGCCGTCTCGAGGGCCGGGAAGGTTATTTATGCCGTGTTATCGGCGTGAGCGAATAATTGTACGGGATCTCGAAAGCCAGTTTTAGTACGACTTTTTCCGGAACGATATCGAATGGGATCGGGATACCTCGTTACCCTGTTGTACTCCGATTTTTATATCTAGGTTATTTGGAACTTGAATTTTACGAGATCCGTTATCCAAAGTAACTATATGCAAGTCTAATGAATTTGTTATGAATTTTGAGATAAAATAGACTCGCCGGCCTTAAATTGGCTTTGCAAATAAACTAGCTTTTTGTTATATTCTTTTGAAAGTTGAAGGGATATACTCGAAGGAGGTCTTAGAAGTAAATAGGAAATGTTTGCAACAGAAAGCTAGTTTATTCTCAAGGTCAATATAAAGTTTGTGCATTTATTTTCACTTTCTGCCTTAATTTTGAGCTAGTGCATTGCTTTATAGAGATTATTCCTATTGGTGATGTTGTATGCTGTCCCAAAATTAATGAGTGGATGTGTGTCGGTTGAGAATTTAATATTTTTCTCGAGTATGTTGTATACTAAATATTTGATTTATTGTTGATTTTCTTTCCAAAAACAATATTGTTATATCCAGTGAGCTGGTTGACCCGGTATGAGTTTTTTCTTTTTTATGAATTGAATGCGTAATTCTTGTATTCCGGTCTATATGTATTTGTTTGGAGTTCCAGATATTGGCAATAATCGACTATTCTACTTTGACCTCTTAATATGAAACAAACAGACTGCTTTATTCAGAGAATTCTAAACATACAAATTGGTCAGAACCGAGCACTTGGTTCTGGTTAGTTTGTATGTGTAAAGTTCTCTGAATAAAACAGTCTGTTGTTTTGTATCGGCAATAATCTTATTAATAGTAGACTACTAATATCTATTGTCCAGCATTTTCTTCAGCAGTGCTGCTTGTATAAGATCTGGATTTTGGACTTTTTGTTTAAGTTGTTTTTAAAGTCATTTTCACTTTTAGTAGAGTGGGCATAAGTTCTATTGGTCCCTCGTGATCTACAGTAAAGGTACTTATTTGGTTGGGTGTATGTGCATTCAGCTGCTTGTCAAAGTGTTCTACTCCATTTATCAAGAATAGTCTGTTTTTCACCCAAGAGGGTACCATTTTTATGCTCACAGAGTTAAAATATTAAATCTAAAATGTATTAATTATTTTCAATAAATAATATTTTGTAAAATTACCTAAACTTTTTGGACGGACTTTAGACATCATTGGGTTAGATTTCGTTAAAATATCTGTTTTTTTTTTTTTTTTTTTCGTTATTCTCTTGTAAATTTTCTATTCGAAAACTTTCGGTCTTTATTTAAATTTTCTTTTCTCGAATTTATATAAATAAGAAAGGTCGAAAGAATAGAAATAATTGCTAATATTTTTACACTTATTTTACATTTTCGAAAGTAAAAAAAGTGCATTAATTACTACTGAATTTTTTTTAAATTCTGTATTATTTATTATTTTGAATTTGTATTTTTCAATTTATATAAGCTGAAATCACTAGAGAATTTTTGTAACTTTGTAAAATAAATCGTATNATTGCTAAGTATAATTTTTATTTGTTGTGTCCCAACAAGTGAAAAATAAGCCTACTGGAAAAATTCTTAATTATATCAATAGTGAAAGCTTTTTTTTTTAAATTTATTTTTATTTTTATACTTGTTTCTATTCTTCAGAAATGGCCAATTCAAGAATATTGAGTCAAAGAGACAAGGAAAAATATGCTTGGAATGGATATCTTTATATTAAAGACAAGATTAATAAGGAAGGTTCGATTCAATTTTGGCGATGTGAAAATAAAAACAAAGGATGCAAAGCTAGAATCTGGACAAGTGTCAGTAAAGGGTCGTTAATTTGTGAAAAAAAGGAACACTCGTGTAGCAGTTACGGAAATGCGGACAGAGTAATAACGCGAAAATTTAGTAAAGCAACCAAAAAATTAGCGGATACTATAATGAACAATCCTTCACAAATCAGAACTCAAATTAAAATAGAAAATGTTTATTCTGTGGCGGAAGGAATGTTTCCAAATCATAACAGTCTGTGCAAAATATTCAAAGAAAGAAGATTGAAAAAAATAATAAAATAGGACCCAAATTACCTTGATTCTAGGGAAGTATTAAATATTCCTGTAGAATACTAAAAATATGAATTCAGTCCACAATTTAAACCTTTTTTTTTTTTTTTTTTTTTTTTTTGCTGGTTATAGGTGTCTGGTTGCATTTATTATGGAAGTATACCAGTATAGTGGTAGTGACTATTATTTTTTTATTTATTCTCAAAATATTTAAACTTTCTCAACAGCTACTCATACTTAAGCTATTTTATTAACTCTTCTCATTGCAATGTAGAACATGATTTTCTGTTTAGTGAGTAAATTCTTATGTGACAAACTTAATTTTATAATAAACAGCACTAAAAATTGGAGAAAGAACTTAGAAACAAGAGCAACACCTTGTATAACTCCAGCAAGTAAAATTTAATAAACCCAAAAACACTTTCGATCCAGTTTAACGGATCTTCCTCGGTCGTCGAACACAAAAATGAAATGGCACGTGCAAACTTTAAAGTTTAAAACGTTTGAGAAAAAGAACACTGTATTCAAATACAAAATCATGAGAAAATGGATAAAACAAACACAGAAGTGGATGTTAACCTTAAAACAAAAAATTTTTGTATTTAAGAACTGAAGATTCATTAAATGGAATCAAAAAATGTTTGTGGGTTCGTTAAAATTTACTTGTTGGAGTTGCTTGTTTTTGTTTAATTTTTATAGTTAATATGTGATTGTTTTTGTTTCCTTAAAGCAAATTTATTTTTTAATATTATTTACTTTGTTGTTAACATTCTAGAGTTATTTTAGAATTACCATTTTTAATAATGCATACATTTGTTTCTTTGTTATGCAGAAGTGCAAAGACGTTCTCGCACGGAGAGCACGGTTGTATTTTGAGACACGTCATTCTTCGTGGAATTTCGTCGCAGCTGCAGTCGGCCGAAAAACGCGTCAATGCCGGAAAACCCACGGCGATGGTAATTAAAAATTAAATATGTAAATTTTATCATATTATTATACTTTGTTTTTCAAACTGTTTATAATATACTGCTATTTTATGAATAGTGTTTTTATTTTGAAATTCATTGTTTAAATAGTAATTTAGATATATGTTTTTGATTGAAACATACTTTTACTTTATACATTGATAATTTTTTAAGTGTTTAGATGTTTGGCATTGAATATTGTGAAATATTCATAATTCTGTTTTATCAAAAACTACATTTTCATCTAGTTTCAGAGTATGTTGACTCAGAAAACATTAAGAAAAATAAACACTAAACTGATTAAAGGGGTCAAAGTTTTTATTGATTAAATGTTTTATGGGAGCCTTTGGTCTCGTCGTCGGGCTCGAATGTTTGAATCTGCAGATTAGAATAAGCTCGTCTGTAAATTTTTGGTCAAGCATTTAGGAGGAAATTAGGACGTGCAAGCAATTTTAAGAACTCGACAGAATTTTTGTTTTTATTTAAAGACATTTAAATGTAAAGGTCAACATATGTATAAAATTAACTAAACATCAACCCTTTCTTCAGACTTTGTTGGGTCTAAAAATTAAGGATACTTTGTCTGCTTCTATTTATATTTTTATGTTGTTACTCATATTTTATTTTAACATTATTTTTTATTGTTACTTTTGTTATAGTTTATTACTTTTATAATTATTGTATTAGTATTTAGTCAGTCAAATCTTAGTCAAAAATGTTTTTTAATTAATAAAAGATGGCTTCCCAAAATTAACAGATAATTAATTTTATTTATTTACAAAAAAGTATCAAGTTTTAGAAACTTTTACAGTATTTAGTGTACAAATAACCTTTTGCTAAAATATTTTGATTTTAAATAGATTTATTTAATTTGAAATTTAAATTATATATATATGTAAATTTATAAAATACATATTCCAGGCTGTATCTTCTGTCATTGCCATTGGAACATTCCATGGATTAGTATTAGTGTTTGGTGAGTATAAATTGTGTAATTAAAATTATCAATCATCTTTGACAATAATTAATTTGGCATTTTAACAAACACTATTGATATGCGTAACTGCATCTTACGTAATCAAATTACATTAAAATAAATTTTACTTTTTTTTATAAAGTAGAAAAATACAATTTTATGACGAATTCTTACTTATATTTAAAAATATTAAACTTATTACAAAATTAAATACTTATTATTTAATTATTATTAATTGCCATATAAAACAAAATATTAATACTTAATATTTTGTTTTATATGGCAATTAGTAATTTTTTAACTTTTATTTCAATAATATAGAAAATATTCATGTAATCATAAAATTTTTCAAGAATAAATGCATAATGATAGAATCAATATTCTTTTACAACTAAATAAACAAAATAATTAATGTCTGGTTATACAATAACAGCCATAAAAATAAAACATGCCTCTTGATAAATATCTTTACCTAATTATGAATTCCTACTTATAAGAAAGTGTGCAGATTTCATTTTGTCAAATTATGAGGTCTCAAATGATCTAGACTTTAGCAACCAGTTACAATTTCCAAGGTTTTTGAGAACTTTGATTGTTGTCTTTGTGGAGGAAAGTAGTACAAATAAAGTTAGTGTACAAAATAGTGTGCAGAAACGGCTACCCAAAAACTTGCGTAGAAATGACCATTTAAAAAATATTGTCTAACTTACGGCTAATTTGTATATAAAATTTAAACTTGGAATTATTTGTAATAATACAAACATGCTATTAAGATGATTTATATTTGTTTATATTAGAAGAAAGAATTTTAACAAATATTTTAAGATTGTTGCAGTAAGTTTTAAAATTACATTTAGTCAAATTCTTCAAAAAGAATGTAAAAAAAAGGAAATAACTTTAAGCCACAGTGATATTTGTTTTCAATTAATTTTTGGACCTAAAGTAGAAAGTAATTTTCTTTCTCAGCTCACGTCCTGTTTTTGTTTTACTTATTCTTTTTTGTTTGTTTTGTTGATTTTAATTTAAGATGCTTGTAAAAGGCCAACCTGGCCACAGTGTCTTTTTGAGAAATAAAATAAAAATGAAAAAATAATATTTTTTACTTATCTACTTTATTTTAATCTTATACAGCAACCTTTTTTAAACAAATTTTATAATATATTCAGTCAATTGCCCAATTTTTAAATTTTAATTTGTGTTTAATAATCAACTAAATAAGTAAGTAAAGATTTTTTGAAAATATCTGTAAAAACACATATTTATGATGTAATTTATAAGTATTATTTTTTTTGTGAAGATCTGTGTAAAAATAAGGACTGAAGAGGGGTCATAAGACCCAAAATGCATTTCTGTTAATAAATCCTATATCAATAAGAGTTTCTTGTGTGATAAGTTACTGAAAAAAAGCCAAAAACCTTAGGTTTTTAAAAGTTCACAGAAACCAGTAATGGAACAATCAATTAAACAAATTCTAGTTGATGAGATATTAGTTTTGAATAAAACATGAATTTATTTTTTAGCAGAATTTGTGTAAAAACCAAAGATTTTTTTAAATTTATAAGTAATTTATTTTGATGTGATTTTTATGATGATGATATTCAAAATAATACAATAATTATTATTTACCAAGACTTATCATAGATTAAATGTTATCTGTAATACATATTGGAACTCAAGAAAAATTGTGATTTTGAACAAAGATTCCATTAATTTATTTCACTTCTACATAAATTAAAAATATGCAATTTGTTTTGTAGATTCCCAACAAGTTTTAAAATGGTGCTTAGGAAATACGAATTATGGAGAAGAATTTGGCTCGGTTTCTGCTCTCGGTTTTAACAGCAATTGCACTCGCTTACTTTGTGGATACAGTGAAGGACAGGTAAATTATATATTTAATAAAATGATTATTGTTAATGACGAGTAAAAGAAATGTAGCTCTCTATATTTCATCTTTAATATAATATCCAATATGTTTATGTGAATAACTAAATTGATTATAATAGATGGATTTAAGGAGTACGTATAGAGCACAGTTTCTTAATGAATATCAACAGTTGATCTAATGTTGGATTATTGGCTATTTGACAAGGGGCATCTGGCCGTTTGTAATTGCCAATTTTAATGAAATTTTGTGGCTCCTTTGTCTTTGGTAGAGTATAAGTACAAGTAATATAGTAAAATTTTATTGAAATTGGTGATTACAAACTGCTGGTTGTTCCTTATGAGAAAAGCATTATTTTATTAGTGACAAAATATTTATAAGGGTGAAATCAGTTTTCAAAGTTCTGATTTCATCCTTACTCACTACTGATTCTACAGTTTTAGAAAAGAAACACTTATCCAATTTGTATGAAATAAACATGAAGCACTTTTTTTAGGAAGCATATACTGTATAGGTGTTGTAACAAATACATAAGTTTAAATATTGTGATATAAATTGAAAGTAAAACTAATTGATAATGAAAAACAAAAATGGCAATTATTAGTAAATGCACTTGCACTTTCATTTAATTTCATGAACATTCAAACAACCAAGCAATATGGAAACTAATTAGATAAAACTTTGTCTGCAATCAACAGGAATACATTTAAAATATATTAATCTCAGATGTAAGGTTTACAACATTCTTAAAATGTTAATTAAGAGGAAAAAAATTATGGTTTTCACAAAATATCTAGTAAATAGAGAATTCACTAATAAATCACTTCTTTCAAAAAATTGGAGATATACAGAATATAATGTAATTTATATGAATGCATGTTTGCTGGTTTTTCTTTGAAAATGGGTAATGTTTCCAATAGATTCAGGATGGATATCCTAGCTCATCTTCTCACTAAGTTCATATCTTTCGAGTCTGCTATGTAGTTTTGATACAGCACAGGGTATAATAGTTTGAGTTTGATTATTTTTTCAGTGTTTTTATAACATTTACATTTCTGGCCTTGTTTAGTCAAGACTAAAATTGACTTGTTCCTTAAAAGCAAAATAAATCGTAATAAAACAAAACGCAGCTAAAATTCCATAATGATACGGTTAAATTCTACGATACATATATCGTTTACAGAAAAATTTAAAAACAAAAAACAGGGCATAAAAGAAACATATCATGTCTTAAATGTATGTAATAGCTTGATATAAAAAGAGATATGCACAACATTTAACTGATGATTAGATAAGTATCAACAAGAATCATAGTATGTGGTTCTCTTGGTATATGTAAATTAAATTTATATTAATTAATAGGGGAATAAAGCCATTAAAACTTATATGAAAAAATAATTATTTGAGAACATGTATATTTTTATACTGGATAGGATAAAGTCACTTAACACACTGCTACAGAACATAGAATGTACTCAATGTTAATTTGCTCGTGTCAGGAACACATTAGATCAAGGGGGAAACAGATTGTTGTGTGTTACACGCATGGCCACCATTTTCAATGCAACTTTGAAACTGTAAATGGGAAGGGGGTCATAATTTCACAAGGAATTGATTGCTGAAAGATTTTAAATTACCTCAAATGGTTAGAGTTATGTACATTACATGATGTGCTCAATGTACATTCTTTGGGTACATTCTATATTTTCTAGCAGGGGTGTTAAGTGACTTTTGCACCCTGTATTATATTTACATGCTAAAAGGTTGCATGCCTGTATTTTTTTTTTTTTTTTACTCACATGAACTTGATTGGCCATTGTGTCCATTGACAAACAAATGCATGCATCCAACCAACTTATTACTCAGTTTTTCTTAAAGGAAAACATTAATATTCTCCATTTGTCAGTTTTATTCTAGCAGTAAAAATGTTGGAATTTCTTATACAACAGCACAAATCATATTATTACATCATCATCAAAATTGATGTTATTTCATTGTATCTATTATGGATCAATTCATTAATATGGACATTATAAATAATATACAACAAAATTTGGCAACTAGTAAATTTCACATTCTTTATCATAATTTATCACATTGATGGCTTAATATGAATACTGCCATCATGTTTTGGGAAAAATAATAATAATGATATCTTGAGGAGTGATCATCCAACAAAGTATAGTAGAGCATCGATTATCTGAAACAATTTGGGACTGGGGTTTTTCAGATAACTGATTGTGTACGAAAAAATATATTAACCTATTTCACGTTGAAATTTTTTCCATTGCATGTTGCTTCCCGTTGAATTTTCATTGATGTTAAGACTAACAAAAATTTTTTAAAAATAATAATCATGTCTATTGTATCATTAAAAATTATTTTTTTATTTTACACAAACAAAATAAATAAATTGAAAAATAAAAAAATTTATATTTCGGAAGTTAACCTAGTATCAAAAATGTTCTGATTCAGCACGACACACAGTCCTCAGGAAAACACCACACACAATGGGGAAAAAAGCCTTGTTCAAATACTGGCAAGTCCTTAAGTACCCTCTCATGATCGTGCCAGTGCTGCCAGCTAAAACACGCGCACCAACAAAAATAATAATGGAGTAGCCCAAGACACAGCCAAATATTCCAGTGCCACAGCACTAGTGGAAATTTGAATTTGCTGACCAGAATGCTTTTGGTTAACTGAGGTTTCGATCGATCAGTATTTGGATAATTGATGCTATACTGTAGTTAAGTTTTTTGTATATTATATATAGCAAAAATAACATTCCAGAAGCTTCCTTTAAGTTGATTTTTATTGTTGAATAATATAATTTGTTAATGTTCTTTGTTAACAGTTTAATTAATACAGTTAATAATAATTTAAAAAACATTTCAGTTTGTAAGTGAAATTTTCACAAATTACTTTGTTGAAAGCTATGAGCAAAGTAATTGCCAAAATAATTTAATTTTAATAATGATTGTAATTGCGCTGCAATTTGAAAAAAATTGTACACCTATAAATTCTCTCTTGTCTTCCTGTCTGTCTGTCCTTCCTTAATCTTGAGAACGGAGTTAGATAGATGAAAGTTGGGACCAGATATGGAAAGCTAAGGGGCAGGAGACCCCAAGTGGCTATGTACGAACTTTCGGTTTGTAGCAGAAGTTATTTCAATTCAAAAATTTTTCCCTGAAAGGAGTTAGATGACCAGCACTACTCCAATGCAATAGGAAAAGTATGATGTACAGGGGCAAGACACTACTAATTTGAAGTAGAGAGTATATATTTTAAATTAATTAAATTAAAAATACGATTACAAATTGCAGCCAGCATTGTGATGATGTCACAATAAATAATTGCACATTACTAATCAACAGAAACTAAATAATAAAGAATTTTATGTAATTAATATACTTATATTAATATTACTCATATAAATGTGTTGTTAAAATACTTTGAAGTAATTCATAAAATAAGTGGAATTTTTTCTTTGAAATCAAATTATGTACAGGGAATATAGCTTTGTGCATAATGGCTAGTCAATTTAATAAATTAATCTGTATTTATCAGGTTGTGTGGCTATTTTAGTCATTATTTCTAATGACCTACTAATCACTTGGACCATCTCGTATTGAAATAGTAATGTCAGCAAAAATGTCGAATCCAGTATTCAGTAGTAACATTTTTGTTGATGCAATTATTGTCAACAACATGCTTTCGATTGTTGAGCTGTTTAAAACAGATCTGATCAAAATTCTGACACAAATAAAATGTTGAAACAGTTGAAAGTTTTGATATCATTTATTTTACCTATTTTTGACCCAGTGTAAATTTCCAAAGGAAATTTTTATGAATAAATTTCTGCGGATCTCAAGAGATCACTCTCTCTTTTCAGAAAGATAATGTTTTATAAACTGGTTTTTGATATTCTACTAAAATATTCATTAATCTTTACTGTCAAATTTAGTTAATTATGAAATATTTTTGGCCATCCAATCAGCAACCTTGGAATACAACCAAATGGAATAGAATACAAAATTTGAATTAACTTAAATAATTTTGCTGGTAAAAGTTTAAGAGTATTTTAGTGGAATTTCTATTGAGTTTTGTATACTTTAAACAAAAATGAGAATAAAAGAAATTTAACAGATGTTTAATGGTTGGTTGAATAGTCTGTTCTTTATATCAAGTAAACAAACAACTCTTTTCTTTGTAAATAATAGCTGTTATTTTTTTTCCTTTATTCTAATTGTCAAATGCTATTTTGGTATGATACCTGTTAATATATAAACAAAAAATGTGTTGAGAAACAAATTTTTTTTTGTGTTTATTTGATCAAAATACTTTTTGTAATTTGTTCAGATAAATAGAATAAAATAGTTTTATATAAATAATTTATTTTTTTGATTATTTTTTGAAATGTACTATAATTGCTATTTTAGATTAAATAATAATCAAATTTTATAAGTCTCAATGCAATTATTTAATTACATTTTTTTCCCTCTAGATTACAATGTGGGATTTAACTAATGGAAAGTTACTTCGAACAATTTTAGATGCTCATCCCCCTCAAACTGCCGTACTACATATTAAAGTAAGTTTAAATAAATAGTTAATATTCAGAAATAAAGTATATAGTTCAAGTAGAAATGCTATATGATAAAAGTTTAGATAGTTAGGCAAATGAAAACTGACGTGCTCAATGTACATTCTTTGGGTACATTCTATATTTTATAGCAGGGGTATTAAGTGACTTTCTTTCTCACACTGTAATTTTATATTAATTGAATTAGCTTGTTGTAAAACTAAGCAGTATTTAACTCATTCACAATAAATTTAATTACAGGTAGGCCTCCTACAACGTGGTACCTTTACAATGCATTTTCCCTCCAACACGGTTGGAAAAATGTGGAAATTTTCTTACAATGCGGTTTACGGTATTTAGAAACGAATTATCTTTCACATAACAGAAAAATCGCAACGGATCACATGATACAAACCACAATTCGGCATANAATCTTACCCGTTTTCACAGAATGCAAGAATTAGGTCCCCCGTTTCCAGACTAATTAGAGAATTTTTACATGAGTCTAAAAATATGTTCGATTTCCCACAAAAACACAAAAAACCGCCTGTAAATCTTGCATGCCACTTTATATTAACACTTCCTTTGTTACTCAACACTTCCATTGTTAACACTTCCACTGTTGACACTTTCTTTGTTATACATCTTTGAAGTCAACCACTTTCAACCCCATATGCAAGAATTAGGTCCCCCATTTCCAGACTAATTAGAGAATTTTTACGTCCAGTCAAACGAACTATTTTCAATTTGATCAATTTTCTGGAATGTTTATAATCGTTCTATAATCGAACCAATTCGAATTTGAATACAAATTTGAATTTAAAACGGTTCGAACGTTCTTAAAATCAAAATAGAAAATCTTTGAAGTCAACCACTTTAAGCCCCCATATCTCCCGCATCTTTATAGCTATTGAGACACAACCACCATAGTGCACGAATGGAGACTTGGGGCTACTACGACATACAAACACCATTCATGTGCGATGTGTAGTTTTGGCTGAAAAGTGAAATATAGAGACACACACATCCATATATATATATATATCTAAGCTTTATAAGATCAGATAAGCAATACCAGTGCTCACTTCTTAGATAGTGACATTCATTTCAACAAGGACCACATAGAAACTGGCGTCTATTACAAACTGGCTATTTATCATTATTCCTGCAAACTTGGTTGACCCATTTCATATAAGGTGGCTGCTTCCATGCTGTGACAAGATGTGCTTTTACACATCATACAAATTGTCAAGACCTAATATGTAATTTAGCTCGTGCCTACTCTAACCAATTCCTTATGCAACAACTCCAACAACCAAGGAGTTTTCAACAGAAGTCAAGCGGGCCCTAATTCCAGGTGCACAGTGATAGAGTATGACCAGTATTTACATACCATATAAAAGAAATTGCTGACAATACAGGTATCAATTTGGCATACAAGAGAGTTCCCATGATGTATTTACCACAATGGAAAGGACAAGCCCATAAACATAGGGCCCCAGGGGTGTACAGTGTTCTTGTGAAGGACAACAGATTCCAAAGAAATATGGTATACATTGGGTTTACTAAAAGCTGTATACACAAAAAGTTGCAGGAATATTGTTACGACAGTTTGAATACAAGGCATATCACTACCCTGTCCATTTATGCCACTGAAACAGACATCCAAGTTGATCTCTATAATTCCACCATTAACTAAGCAATCATTTCAAACCAATCCCATCAGAGCCGTAGAAGTTTTGGAAATATACAAGCCTGACCTGACTGGTAATTGTATTAACTTTAAAGATGGAAAAAGCATCTTATTTTCATGACAATGCTTTTATGAAAAACCAGGAATTGCCAACATAAATTAATAATTATTATTATTTTATATGCTTTAGTTGTTGTGCATGTGTTTTCCGTCTGAGGACCCAACTTGAGTCTGTGTGTGTATATATATATATATAAAGTTGTTATTCTGAAATATTACACACACATTTATATATATATATTTAACTAGCTGCAAGGACCCGCTTCGCTGGGTTTTTATTTGTATGTAATATGGTTTTTTTTATATATATAAAAGACTGTTTTTCTAAATAATCTAGAATCTAGCTGCAAGGACCCGCTTTGCTGGGCAAAAAGTAACGATAGTGAAGATTAAGATAATTACATTATAGCCAATCTTACCCGTTTTCACAGAATGCAAGAATTAGGTCCCCCGTTTCCAGACTAATTAGAGAATTTTTACGTTTAGTCAAACGAACTATTTTCAACGTTTCTGGAACGTTTACAATCGTTCTATAATCGAACCAATATTCGAATTTTATGTTCGAATTTAATTCGAACAAATTCGAACAAAACATTCGAAATAGAAAGCCACTTTCAACCACTTTCAGCCTCATATCTCCCGCACCCTTATAGCTATCGAGACGCAACCACCCCTATGCACGAATGGAGACTTGGGTCTACTACCACATACAAACACCATTTTCATGTGCAATGTGTAGTTTTTGCGGAAAAGTGAAATATAGGGACATACATGTCCATTTTTATATATATAGATAAATGAAGATCTTATCTTTGAAACTTCTTGCATCTTTATTAAATCTTTATTAATTTCTAAAAATTTAAATTTTTTTTATAATAATCAATGTATCTGAAGCCAGGCTTAATTAATTATTAAGATATTACATAATTTAGATCAAAGATTGGCAGTTATGCCACCATTTTGTATTAAATTTAATAATTAAAAATTTAGACTATTATGGAAGAAAACATTGATTTGAAGCAGGACTCAGAGCCAGATTAACTTACAGTTTATCACCTTATTATTTGTTGTCTTTAATAGACTAATACAATTTACATTAATGTTAGAAGTTTTATTCAAATATAAACATCTAATAACCTAATTTTTAGTTCAACAACAAATGATTGTTGTTGAACTAAAAATTGTTGAATTATGTTGGGCTATAATAATGCTAATAATAACTATGTAATTTGGCCTAGAGGTAGGTGTTAGGCATTATCTCTTGGCAAATATAATACAGTAATACTGTGGTTTTTGTTGATTTTGGTTATTGTTGGTTTTGATTTTTGTTGATATTTTTCGCAAAAAATTTGTATCGGTTTTTGTTGGTTGTCTCAGATTTTGTCGGTGTGCCCATGTGACCTCATTGCTAATTTTGCAAAAGCACACGTTTTTCTGCTCAGTGTGGTGGCGTTTCTCCTTATGTGAGCATTACCCCCTTGTTTAGCCAAACAATGGGTATATTCAAAATCTCAGCATGCAGCCAGCACCTCTGTTTAAAATCTTGGATGACTTTTGATTGCTGCCAACATTCTTCTAGCAAACTACAAGCATCTTTTTTGGTGCTCGATATGCCATCAAACAAGATGGCAGCCACCGTGAGGCTTGTAAGAGCCCTATTTTGCATTGACAGTTTTGAATTTAATATATTTGTTGATGAATAAACCCTGAATAAATTAATATTTGGTTAGTACATTAATAGAATATTTTAATATACTAGTATATTTATGTAAGACATCACATACTTTTTTCAGTTGTTAAAGTGTAATCTTAGGATTGATTTTAATTATTTAAAACTACTATGAAAAGTTAAAAAAATCTTAATCCCTATTTTTCTTTTCAAAATATTTATTTTTCATTAAGCTGTTCTCATTAAATAAGTTCAAAAATAGATTTAGCGTAATGTGGAAGTCCACGTCGTTTGCCATTTTTATTGTTTTTTTCTTTCGAAATTCCCAGCAGTCAGTGTTTGTGTTCTGTAGAAAATGTTAGCAGTTGCATCATTTTCGGCAGCATCTCACTTGATTGATACTGAGATTTTGACTACGCCCAATTCCATTGTTTACATTTCCTTACAGCTCCATCATGGGAAATGCCATGTTAAATGTTCAGCTTATATGACTCTGAATGGTATAGACAAGTGTAATATTCAAATTCAAAATGTGCTGCTTTGTATGGTTCTGAGTTTTAAATATCTTGGGATGTTTGTTGAGAGAGGAGGAGATTGAACTCGGAGGTGCAGCATAGAATGGTCAATGTGGCTGGATGAACTGGAGGAAACTGAGTGGTGTTATGCGAAAAGAAAGTTAGCTGCAATCTGAAAGGAAAATGGTATAAATCAGTTGTTAGACCTACAATGTTAGATGGGGCAAAGACATGGGCAATAAGAAGAGCCCAAGAAAGAAAGACTGGGGTGGCGGAGATGAGAATGTTGAGATGGATGTGTGGAGTGTCAAGGAAGGATAGAATAAGGAGTGATTTTATTAGAGGTTCTGTTAAGATGGGCGGGCCCCTTGATCAAAAAGATGCAAGAATATAGGTTGAGGTGTTTGGCCACATAGAGCGAAAAAGTGACAATTATGTTGGAAACAAGATTGGAAAACTGGTAGTAAGAGGAAAGGAAGAAGATCAAAGATGCATTGGAAAGATAAGGTGGTAGAAGACTTGAACCAGAGGGGACTTAAGAGAGAAGCCCTTGATAGGGAGAAATGGAAGAAATGTATTAGAGAAGGAAACGCCAACCCCATATAAACATGGGAAAAGGCAAAGATAAAAATGAAGTCTTTTATATCCATTTTATATTAATTTCTTATTGTTTTTAGTATTAAACACTATTTATCTATATATATAAAAATGAATGTATGTCTGTGTGTNTTAAATAAGTCTTTTATATCCATTTTATATTAATTTCTTATTGTTTTTAGTATTAAACACTATTTATTCTCTATAAAATGTGTTTTTGGTATGTATTTTGGAGTGTCTAGAATGAATTAATTGGATTTACATTGATTCATATGGAAATAATTGCTTCAGTTTTCATCAGTATAGGATTTTGCCAATTGTTTTTGGACGAATTATTGACGAAAACCAAGGTATCGCTGTAATTTAATTTAGAAGTTTCTGGAAGAAAAGAATTAGTCTGAAGCTGGACTTGAATGTCCTGCTTGGCATGTGGAGATGTTGCCAGTTACGTGGTGCATTTTAAAATTAATTTATTACAAGAATTTTTGCAACAAGAAAATCTATGTTACAATATCTTAATAAAATAAGCTCTATAAAAAAAAGCCTAGTTTTATTGTGTATCCTTGCAAAAATGACCAAATTTTCATTTACAATAGATGTCTAGCTTTATATGTAAATTCAAATGAAAAATATAAATTAATTTAAAGTAGTTAGTTTTTATGCTGTTAATATACTTGCTTTTATTATAGTCATATGTACAAGGAATATTGTTGTAGATAGTTAATTTAATATTTGAATATTATATTAATTTAACATTAAAAGCTATTTTTTATTTATATTTTGTTTATCTTATTCCAAGTTTACGGACGACCCGACCCTGGCTTTATGTAGTGATAGCGGCGGTTCAGTTTTCGAATTGAATTTCAAGTAAGAATGGTTTTTTTAATTTATGTGATAAAATACTGGAAATAGATAAATTGATAAATTAAAGGTTTTATCTTTGAATATTATTTGCAGTTTCTAATTAGAACTTTTTTACAATGAAATAAATAAATTAAGAAGTTAGTCAAACATTAATTTATCTCAATGCAAATATTAATTAATTATCATAGAGCAGCTTTTATAATTTAATATGTAAAATAATAATTCTATGTATTATTCATGTAGTAACTGTACTTTATATATTTTAATATTTATATAATGTTTTAAGGAGAGTAATGGGAGCAAGAACTTGTGATCCAAAATGCATCTTCTCTGGAAGGTAATTATTTTAATTATAAATAAAATATAATGTATGTATAAAATGAAATGAAATAAATTTATTTTCAAACAATTACTTTTATTTTAAATTTTCAGTACAATCAAATAAAAAAAATATTATTGTGTTTGTGGATGTGTCATGTACCCTATATAACACGTTCACTGGTTCCTAATGTTATGCCAGACCAAATAGTACATAACTATATTATGTACTATTTGTGTATTTATCGGTCTTTCTGTATATTTCCTGGCTGTGATATGTGCTTAGTATAGAAGCCTTCTGTAGTGTGATGTATGTGCTGTTATGAAGCTCTAATGTAGAAACATTAGAGCTTCACAACAGCATAATAGACTTTTGAGTAGTGTATGTGGTATGACACCTGTACAAGAAAGGTCCATTGGTACAATAAGTACTGTACCTCATCCATTCTCCACAAGGCTTTATTTTGAGGCATGTTCCTGTGTATTTACTAATTTTTTTTAATGTGTGTATGTTTATGTTTGGCACAGCTGTGTCTATGATGTATATTATTTTGCTTTGTTTGACATCAAATGTGATGTCTGGTTACTGTGTTAGATTATTTTGTCTGTGGTTATGGCATCTTCATAGTGTATATTGTGTTTTTTTCTGTGACTTCCTGAAGTGTATATTTATAGTATGGTTTCTAGGTGTGTAGTAGTTTGTGTTTGTGTACAAGCTTTTGATGTATTATATTTGCTATTTTATGTTGATGTAAGTAGTCTGTTTTTGTTGAAAGCTTTTAATTCCATGCTGTATAGTCTTGTGCATCATGGATCATTCCTACAAGTGTTGCCTGTAAGTGTTGTCTTTTAAAATCACTTTCTGTAGTTTTTGTACCGTGTTAATTAAAACTTCTTCCACACACATAAAGGGATTGTTGCAATTCATCAAATCCCGCATTAAGCACTAATACCTGTACTTCATTTGAATGTAAATAATAAATGATCAAATTTTTTAGATTGAGAATTAAAGGAACTTTTTTGTAAATTCTATTTAATTTAAATTAACTAATACATTTGGTATAAAATTTTATAATAATAATTATTTTTTAAAATTTTTTGATATAATCATCACGTAATTGTTGTCTATTGTCATTAGTCGAGGCGAAGTTTGCGCATTTGAGCCCCTGAGACTGAGCCCGGATTTTCGAAATCATCCCAGTCAAGAAGTCTGTCTCGTTGCGTTGGGAACAGTCACTAAGGTAAAAATGCAATAAACTTTTAAAAAAATTGATAAAATTGTAAGCAATAAATAAAAAGACACCTTGTGAATCCAGAAAATGTTTAAAAAGTGTTTTTGACCCAGATTTAATGGATCTTTTTCAGTTAGAACAAAAGAATTAACTGAATCAAATGTACAAACATTTGCAAATAAACAGAATATCTATAAATTTAAATACAAACTGTAGCCAATTAGAAAATAACATATATAATAACAAAAAGAATGCAAAAAATGAAGTAAAAATAATAAAATTAATTAAATACAATATGATAAATAAATTAAGTAAATATAAGCGAGAATCAATATTTGGGTCATGCTAATGTAAGGCATTGAAGCAACCTATAATTCACTTGTAGAGTAACACGTGGTTGACAGTGTTGGCATCCCCATAATTGATGCAGTGCCATCTACCATGGACTTTGTAAATTTTTAAAGCCTCTAAGTATTCGAGGGTAAAATGGTTCCCAGATGGTCTAATCAGTTTGACTTACTCCCATTTAACTTGTACCTGCTGTATGTTTATGTAAGATGCCAGGAAGATATTGCCCAAATCTTTGTTAGCCATATATCAATGTTCTTTAATTCTGTGCCTATGGTGATGTACAGAATTAAAGAATCCCTACGTATAAAAGCTTTTCGTCAAATCACTGGGATAGTATAAACTCCCGACTTGCCAGAAGTCCTTGGTTTTGTCATTATGGAGAGAGCTAAAAAATAGTGGATTGTGTTCATAGACTAATTTTATTTTACTAATGGTGTGATTACCTTACTCATCATATTGTATTTATTTTTATTGTTTTTACTCTATTTTATTTTTTTGCATTGTCTTTGTTGTAATTATATATGTTAATTTCTTATTGGTTACTATTTGTATTTAAATTTACAAAGGTTATTTTTTTTCAACCTCCACTGTCCCAGAATGAAAAACAAGAATGAAGAACAAAACCACTTTATTTGTAGAAGGTACTTACAGTCTTCACCTATTTTTCCATATAATTGCCTTGTTGATTCAGACAGACAGATATCAGGTAATGCTCTTCGACACAAGTATACAAAAGCTGATGTCACGACATCAGCTTTTGCATACTTGTGTCGAAGAGCATTACCACCAGGCCATTCAGCCAACCTTTAACACTGTCAGTCAGCCTTTAACACAGTGTGGACCTTGAAATTTCAGGAAACTTCTTACTAAGCTCAGAAATTGTGAACTAACTCACTTTGTCCACCAAATTGTCAGTCATCACACATTTCCTTCCTTCTTGACCGTCCTCATCGTGAACATTGTCATGTCCTTGTTTGAACTTCCTGCACCATTTATGCACACATCTGTAGCTCATGAGGTTCTCACCATACACATTATACATCCTTCAATGAATTTCACCTTCATTCAGCCCTTTAGCCTGTAGAAATCAAATTACTGCTCGTACTTCACAGTTGGCGGGAGACTGGGTTGGCAGCATCATGTTTACGTGTTTACTGCAGAGTAGCAAATAGGTTAGGTTAGTTAGCAAATGTCTAAAATAGCTTGGCACAATGCTAAGTGGCGAGGAATATACTATCAACTAGTATCTAGGTGTGTGCCCTGTCCATGTCTCCCTGTCTCACATGCTTCCAATTTTTTTTTTTCATACCCTTATATATATATATATATAAGGGGTTGGAAAAATATATATAAATATATACAAGGGTTATTTTTTTTCAACCTCCACTAATATGTATATATAGGGACCTTGAATAAGTTCTCGCTGTTTTTTAACAGATGGCATTACCAGAACCACGTTTGTTTATTTTTAGATGGTGATGCATCTGTAAGGAAGTACAATAAGCAACCTTGAAATTTAGTATATGTCATTTCACTGAAGTGTAAACAACTTATTTTTTCATTGTGTTAAACATGTCAAGTTTCATGCCAAAAAAAGAGTATTTGTGGGGAATTTTATTGCACTATTTTATTAAAAAAATCTGCAGCTGACGCGCACAGAATTCTTGTTGAGACTTACGGCAACCATGCTCTGTTGGAAACAACATGCAGAGATTGGTTTAGATGCTTCAAAAATAATGATTTTGATGTTGAAGATAAAGAATGATCTGGCGCACCAAAAATGTTTGAAGATGAGGAATTGGAAGCATTACTTCATGAAGACTCATGTCAGATGCTAGCTGAACTTGCAGAATTATTAGGAGTTGATCACACAACAGTTTCGAAACGTTTAAAACGATTAGGAATGATTCAAAAGCAAGGACATTGGGTGCTGTACAAGTTGAAGCCGAGAGACATTAAACGGCGTCTTTTCACATGTGAACAGCTGCTTCAATGACAGAGAAGGAAAGGTTTTCTGCATCGTATCGTGACATGCGGCGAAAAATGGATACACTACAATAACCCTAAGCATAGAAAATCATGGGGTAAGCCCGGCTATGCATCAACATCGTCAGCAAGACCGAATATCACTCTCTCTCTCTCTCTCTCTCTCTCTCTGTAAAAGTTAAGAAGGCCGTACCAGAGGCTTAGCCTTAGAAGAGAAGTGAGAAGAGGATAAGAGAGGGGGAAGGGGAAGATGGGGTAAGTATGATAGGAAAGTGTGAAGAAGAGATTATAACAACTGAACTTTCTATCAAATACTGGAGGTAATATACTTCCTTCTACCTGTATAAAAACCTTCCAAATCTCCAGTGATACTCGTTTAAGCAAACGTTTTCGACCCTACCAGGGTCATCATCAGGCCACCGTTACAAAAATTCAAACAGTGCAAAATCGAACAGGAACCAAATAAATGCGATTCAAATCTTCGAACGTCAACGTTAATATCAAAAATAGAACACCACGCTCTTGTAGCGATGTCGTCAAAGCACACGCAACCCGCGCTTGCAATAAAACCACATTACACCTAATTATGTGTGGGGTGTTCCTTCGTAGCAAAACTTCCATGCACTAGAGATGTTGACTGCGTCTCTGGAGTTAATACATGTATTGTTTAATCCCGCTTTATAAATTTCTAAGGTCTCCATGATTCTTAGTTGGTCAGTACGGTGTGATAGCCTAACTAGACTGGCATTCTGCAGATCCACCGTAATTCCAGGCTCCGTGGCAACTGTTGAAAGGGTGGTGGAGTGTTTATTGTTATCAATATCATACTTATGCTCATTAAGACGTTTGGTTGACCCCACATATACTAACTTATTATTAAATCTGTCATCCCAAAGGGGTATAGAATACACCCCCGGTGCGTCTTTCAAGTCAATCCCATCCTTCCCGTTTCGGAGTAAGCTGTAAATGGATCTTGGCCTACTGTACGTTATTTTGTTATTAGTGCGGGAAGATATTTCTCTGTATAATGTGTCAAGCTGGTGGTTGTACTCTACTATTTTTCTTTTACGGTTGCCGTCAGGCGGAAGTTCTGGGATATCCGGCGTATTGCGCGTGTTCTTCCGCATATATGCCCGTGCAATATTATATACCAAGTTCTTACTGTATCCATGCCATGTGGCTATTTCCTGGATATGCTCCAGCTCAGCTATGATATCTTCCCATTCAGAATGGTGGGTGAAGGCTCTCTTAGTCAATGCCCGAAATGCCGCTATCTTATAGGAGTAAGGATCCTCCGAGTTAGCTGGGATGAACATTGGTACATAGCACTTTTTGTAAAAAACTTTGAACGAAATCCCATTATTTATTAATTGAATATCCACGTCAAGAAAATGT